AACCCGAGACTAATGTCTAACTCTAAACTTGTAGACCTACTTAGATCCACATCTTCACACTTGAATCACACTTTAACTTGTAATGTTACTAGTCCTGGTCTGGGACTTGTCCTTACACTCAGTTACAAAACAGATTCACCATAACAATCAACAATATTATCAAATGAGTTCTAAATGTTTATTTGCTTGCATCAACATCACCATCACTTCATGATGAGTAGTCTGGCTTTCACTTGGCTGGGTTGGTACTAGTCCGAAACTATGAACTAAGTCAACTGATACTGTCACTGAACTGGATCCTGGTCCTAAATCGAAGGCAATCATGAAGTAACAACTTCCAGTATTTCAATTTTTAGGCTAAAACAAAACACTTCCTCCTCTAGTCTATGCTGCAGTAGATCTAGTTACAGGAACCTGGATTCAGAAACCATGCCGCGGACGGGGCTGGCTGGGCTGGGCTAGGCTGGCGGGCTGGCTGGCTGGGCTGGGCTGGGCTGGGCTGGCTGGCTGGGCTGGGCTGGGCTGGGCTGGGCTGGGCTGGGCTGGGCTGGCTGGCTGGCTGGGCTGGGCTGGACCCTGAACTTGGTTGGAGCTTGCATGGGCTTGGCTACTGCTACTGAGTTGCATGGCCTACTGTAGTACTACTGCAGCACTGCCACTGGTTGATCGTTAAGTTGAAAGTTAGGTTGGGGGCATCCATTCACTATTCATCCAACTGCGGCTAATAAAGTTAAACTGATGAGGCAACATCAGCAAAAACAAATACTCGCTCACCTACGATCAACTGCTGGATCTCCTGGCTAAAGAGTTTTTCATCCAAATTAGGCAAACTCAGCTCCATTAGTTCGGTTCATTTGCTGAATACATGCTGATGCACTATTCTCCATAGCTGTACGTGCTGTATGGCAAAGCGTTCATAAAAAACTGCACGTGTACAGGCATAATTCCAAACCATGTCGGATCTCTGCTGGAGAAACTTTTTCAAGTCTTTATTTCAGCAAACTGCGGCAAAACCAAACTAATCATCTCGACCTCGTCGCCAATATTATGTTCTGTCAATGTTCAAAGTTGATGTTCAGCGAAATAAAGATGACAAATAAAGACGTATTCGTAACTTTAAAACTACATGGTGGTAGCATGGACTTTATTCGATGAAGGCATCGATGGAAACTGCGCGCGGTACATTGGGCAATGCGTATACATAAAATGACAAGTCAAGACATGCATAGTCTTAATTTCAGACGTCATACATAACATACACATTTCACTGTGCTCTCTCTCAATTCTGAGGTGATGTATAAGATTCCACACAGGTAGCATGGCAGGAGATCATCGTTTGAGGGAAGAGTGGTCTCCTTCAGTAAAATGTTCTTTCGAATCGGCCGAATGTATATTTTCTGTGAGCTCAGGAGTTGCAAGTCCTCAGCACAGCAGGGGCCTGTATGAACCACCTCCAAGATGGTTCTCAACCTTGTTCTTAGTGTCATCAGTTCAAACCCCAATCCCACCACCTCCAAGATGGGTCTCAACCATGTAGGTATGTTGCAACAACAAAAAATATTAAAAAGCATGCCTGTTAGTTATCCCATCAGATAGAGCTTGCCAATACCTTTCATTTGATACCTACATGTAATACACTTTCATATCATATAAGAAAGTTATGGACATTTTCATGTGCGGAAATTGACCTTTTGTTCTCTATTGCTTTAACATTATCAAATAACAAAAGCTGTGATCGACAGTAGCAGCTAGAATGACATAAATGTCATAAAATGTAATAACTTTTTTAAAAATTGAGATATCTTGCAGTCAAACACATGCATTCTTGTTGTTTTGGAGAAAGTCTTCTGGTCCACCTGTGCCCTCACAGTTCTACCAGCAGCCTCCATATTTTCCAGCGATTCCTGCAGAAGAAGGTTATCAAATTCATGTCGTCTTACATCTTTCTCTCTGTCCTTCAGTTTCCCCTGCCGTTTCCTGTATTTGCGAATTGGAACAGTCTCCTTTTTCTTTCCACAGCGGATCTGGAGCATTTTTCTGTAGTTTTTTTTTTTATAGTTTCAATAGTTCAGCTTTGGTCTCAGCAAGCTCTTGAGCCAGTTCAGTATATTGTTGTTTAGATTTTAGTACCTTGATTTTTGATTCCTTGCATTCAATGCTTTTTTGCTTTCTCTTCAATGACTGAATGATTTATAACACGTTTTGGTGTTTTCAACTCTGTCTGAAGGTTTACTGATTTTCACTTGGTATTTTCGTGCAAGATAAGCTTTGGATGTAGTAACAAATTCTAGTCTTATCTTCAATCTTGCCTTTCTTGGGGAAAAAAGTTTCTTTCTGCTTCTAGTCGATGCACCGGAAGTTGTTGGAGTAGGCTGTTAAATGGTGTCTTCTGATGTTGGCATTGCTACATTTGAATCAGGCAGATCATGACTGGTGGCTGTTGTTTCAATTCAGTTTTTTTATTTATTCAACCATCAAAATATAAATATACAATCATAACAAGTTACATTAAAAAATTAGCAGAACACAATGATGGTTTCGTGGCCCCGGAGAAGGCAGGGCTTATAACATTCTCAAATAGTGATGACCTCTTGATCAAATATGTTGTCCATTTTCAATGCAAAAGAAAAAGTTATCAATCTGAAAGTAGACTCACCTATTTTACTTTGACATGATGACTTTGCTCTGTCCATAGTTGGTAGAAAAGTGAAAGCCCGACTGTTGGCTCCATGGTATCTGACATATCATTTAGATGTAGCTGGTATATACCGTATCTCTCTTTGCAATACGACGAGGTAGATAGACCTCGTCTTTGGTGTACATGCTCTCACCTCTTTTTTTATACATACAGGTATTCTTCAAGCCAATGAAGGCACATGATTGTTGGTTGAGATTTTTGTTTCTTCCATTATTAGGGGAATTGTGCATTCTTCCCTTTTGCTGCATATGATTTTATCTGAACAAAGGTTGCTCTGCATCATGCGTTGGAAAACATATTTTTAAAACTGTTTGTGGGTTGCTCGTTTTAAAAGGTGTGGGGCTGGCAGTGAAATAGGCATCAATGATCATCAAGGATTAGCCAGGACATATTGGAAATGTAAAAACATTCAAAATCTCCTTTGTATGCAACTGTAGCGAAATAAAATGTATTTTAAATATCAGGTAACCAGCAAGAACAAAAAAGTGAGAATGATTGCCGCTTGTGTTTAATTTCTAATAAGTGCCTGTGCTTTCACACTTTCTGCAGTTTGTGTATATCTGGCTGGTCCAGACAACACTATGGTACATGTACAGTTGACAACAAAGTTATTCATACCCCATGTAAATTTGATGTTTTTTGTAACTCAATAATGGAAGGTGGACTGGTTAAATTAGGGGCTTTGTTGAATACTTTCAGATGTAAGCTTTAATATTTCACATTCTCAAATCAATTTTTCACATACTTACAAATTATCAGGCTTAATTACTTACTAAACTTTTAATTACAAATCTTAGTAAGAGGAGGAATTGTTCAATTATAAACTGTGTCTGGGGATCCTGATGTACATTAATATCAATGATGGATAATATATTTGAGACGGTGTCTCGTGAAATACAAATTGATAAATAAAACTTTTATTTCTTTAATGAAGTTTGTCTCCCTTGTTCTTGGTTGCACTTGGACTGTTACAAAATTGTGCATTTTTATCATGATCATTTTGGTATGTATTTAGAAACAATGTGGATGTTGGCTTTTGCTTACAATACATGTTTTAAGAAATAATTTATATGTACACAGTGCAAGTACTATACCTGTCTGAACAGTCACTCAAGTATTCATGATTAACAAGGAATAAGCTTTATGAAGTATTTCAGTTTCTGTTTGTACCGATGTCAAGATATTAAAGTTTGTTTCAGCAAAATTTATAAGCATAATTTATAAGCATTTCCAAGTTTCTTGTTATCATTTTTTTTTTTGAAGTTATTTGAGAGAGAGATTCTTTGTATGTGGAAGTAAATTGTTATTTACCAATATATTTTAGTTCAATGATGAAAGAGAGACAATATATTAGGCAAGGTTGAGTTTGAGAGTAGGTTGAAGGTCAGACTGCTTGTGAAAAGAGTTGAATGAAGTTTAAAGAAAGGAATACAAAAGAGAGCTATAGATGAATAAATGGACAAGAAGGAGAGAGAGAGAGAGAGAGAGGAGAGAGAGAAAGGGAAAATAGAGAGAGAGGAGACAGAAAGAGGAGATAGAGAGAAGAGACAGAAAAAGGAGATAGAGAGAAAGAGATAGATAGAAGGTAATTTGATAGAGAGAGACAAGAGTATAATATCAGAGATATAGAGAAAGGTGACAGAAAGAGGAGATAGAGAGAGGAGACAGAAAGACGAGATAGAGAGACGAGACAGCTAGAGGAGAGTGATGGACAGAAGGTAATTTGATGGAGAGAGACGAGAGTATAATATCAGAGAGAGATTGGGAGAGTATTTAAAAAGAGAAAGGTGTATAGTATACCAGAGTTGGGAGGGAATATTTTAGGGGAGAGTTGAGAGAAATAAGATGGAAAGAAGGAAGAGAAGAGATTGAGGGGATGACACAAGATCATTTCTCCATCTTACCAATCTACTCTACTTTTTCTAATCTACTTTTTGATGTAACGGCTCCATTACATGTACATCTCTTCACCACCAACATCCTCTATCCCTCTTTTACAGCCTCTCCATCTCTCTCTCATATCTACCCTGATATCACCTCTCCTTTACATTATTTTCATCACTGATCTACTTTCTCATGTCAACTTTTTCTTGTAACCTTCCATCTTTCCAACTCGGTCTGACGTTACCCTCTCTCATAATTTCTCATCTAAACCTCCCTCTTAGCCCCTCTCTCATCTACACTTTCTCTTTATTTTCTTTTTAAAATACCATTCCCTTCTCTATATTTTCCTCATCCCCCCCCCCCCCCCCACACACACACACACACGCACACACTTAAATTGTAAGAATCAAAAACTGAATGTTCACAGCAAAAGAATTTATTCTCTTCCTCTATTTCAAAATCATGCATTTCTTTTCAAATTAAAGAATTTACATGATGTTTCTATGAACATGCATCAAGATAAATATTCAAACTGTCAAACTAACAAGTCATACACATGTAGAAGAAAGCTGTAGTTTAGAGAAAAATATTAAACCAAATACATGTACATGTAGCACTAAAAAAAATGTTCCTAATTAGTTCATTTTCTACAAAACTGGAGAATATATATTCACATGCATGAAAACAAAGAAATAAAGCACAATTATGATGACAAACAGACCTTATAAATTGACAATAAGGCCTTGCCCATCAAAAATATAACTATTTAACATGCTCTACCAGAGAGACGCTTGCATTAAAAACTGAACTGATTATAAGAAGAAATATAACTATATATTATTGTGTTCTCTTGATTTGCTTTCTAATGTTGGATGTTTCTTTGTAGTTCCATGTAATCCATAACCATGTAATGCATTTGTACATGTCATTTTGTCAATGGATATTCATGAGCATATCTTCCAAACATGACTTTCCATTTGTAAGTTATTCATGATATTTTAATTACATTTTATACATTATCTTACAGGTCTGTGGATAATAAAAACAGACATTGGCAAAGCAAAATGTACATCATAATAATGAAGCCATACCACGGGAGCCTACATTTTATACAGTAGCACATAGAGCAGCAAACAAAATTCAAAAATTGTATTCAGAATAGATGTCTTTGATGACTTATCAGGGGCCTTGCAATAGAATACTATTTCTTTTGCTAGGTTTCCACTACTCTATTGACTATTAAGTAAGAATTACTTGAATATATAGACTACAGTTTAAGCATGAGCTAATATTATTTGAGTTACAATGTACTTTTTGAAAACATTTGTATGGCTTGATACCAAAATATTTTTTATTTATATATTTAGTTAATAGTATCGCTGTACATGTATCTATGGATCAAAATTGAAGGGATGTACATTTTTGTTGTATTCTATTCTTATTTCTTTGCCTATTTATTGAATTCTTTAAGTAAACTGTTGCCATAACACTTTAACGACTGGGAAATTACTTTCAATATTTCTCTAATTATATTTAAAGCAATATCAACATTAACATACATGTAGCACCTAGAAAGTCCTATATTAATAAATACATTACACGTAATTAAAGAAGCAAACAAATTTTCTACTGTGATATGAAAAGATATTTCATATTCATTAAGACTTGAGTAACCTACATGTTGCAATTTGAAGCACAACCAAATTCCTTTGTTTACAGGTCAAAATTCAGGGTACATAATATCCTCATATACTGCCTCGAAAGCCCTTGGACTAATTTACAGTCCCTGGCTCCATGCTTAATTTGTAGAAGGGAGAAATTTGAGGCACTTAACCCATGATTTATATGTTGACCATGTTAATAAATTGATGTGATGGTCACTGAATTGTTACATGCATTAAGTTGTATGACAATACGGCAGTCTCTTTCCAATACAGTCAATTATGACACATGGAAAAAAAAACAAAGGAAATATTGCACCAAACTTGTTGCATCTTGTCCTTGCTATTTCATTTTTGGTAATTTTGAGGGCAGGATTTTAATTTCTATAACTTATACAATACGCTCACTCTAAATGATCTAAAAAAGAATGTTTATAGAGGAATATAAAAAGAAAATGTACAAAATATCACATGTTCTACATGTAGCAACAAACACATGAAACATTACATAGCTGAATTGTTGAAGGACACTTTTCATATCTTTCATCTGGAAGAACATCAAGATGAATATAGTCTACCGTTTGCTAAGGACAGAATCTTCCATTTAAATGTATTGATAGATGTGAACAGAGGTTTTACCATTTATAAATGAAATCTTTTCACTTTTAGAAACTGCAAAGAGGGTACACTCTTTTTTTTCTCAATATCAATTGAATGAAAAAAGTTAGAAATGAAGATAGGGTGATCAAATTTTCTGTCTGTAAAACAAAAGGAAATTACTGTTTTTGCATCCTTTGATCAAATTTCAATATTGAAAGTACCTAAACCCAAAGAGTGTTTTTGGAATATAAAATTCAAACCAACATCAAATGATTCAAAGGAAAGGATCCTGCCATGATATTGCCATGGTGGGTGGGTGGGTTAGGAGTGGTTGGAGTCTACTTGTCGGCTTTCTCTGACTCGTCGACTCCAGCCTGCATCATGAGGTCAGCAACACTCTTCTCAAGGTCATCGATGCGGTTTCCCATCTCATCTAGTGCAGATCCATGGCAGTCAAGGAAAACAACCAAGCTGATCATAAAAACTACCACATTAATATCGTGTAAAAGTGTACCTGGTACCTTAAATTATAATGTTATGGGGATTGTGGCTGAAAAAGTAATGAAATTATTTATGGACATTTCTCATGTAACAGTTTTATCTTGCATTGTGGACTTTTTCATTTTTAATGTTTTAATTTTGTATAATTCATTTTAAAAAATATTTTAAAAAACATACCGGGCGGTATATATATTTTGTAACAGTGATAGATCTAGGGTATGTCAGATCATGGAATATGAAATAAGTTCTAGAACTTCTTTTAAGTGTTAAAGATATATGCATAGACATAGTATAGGCCGAGACTATTTTTCCTCAAAAGAGACTGAGAGAAGATAAAAACAACACATAAAAGAGGTGGTAGACAAACGGTTCTGAAAGGATATTTCTGCCTATGATGCGGTCAGACATTGACTGGAAGTTGTTCTGCATTTGCTCCAAAAGTTGTTGCACCTGAATAAAGTAAAGAGACAAAAAATATTCTAACAATAACTGTTTCCAGTTTTTTTTTGTGAATCCACGTTTAGCGATAATAAGTGTAAAAAGGCACGCGTGCATAGGGTTTGCTAATTTAAGCAAACTCTGTGCGTGCTCCTTTGTTTACAAAACTAATCACTATTATCATAAAGTATTGAATTGGTAATGCCAAAACCTTTTTTTTTCCCTGTATATTGTATGTCTTTGCATGTCAGCGATTTGTAATGTAAATATCACCTTAACTAATTATCACCAGGAACACGTGGAAGGTTAGTAAATCTCTATCAGTATCACTCTAGTATTACTTAGTATCAGATCAAAATCTCATATGTAAGATGTAGATTTCCTGATCCGCACGCTGGCAATGTGAAAAACGGATTCCGCGTAATAAAATACCCCCAGTTCACGTCTACTTTTACGGGTTGTCCATCTTACCGAGGATTGATCGTTCATAACGTGAAAGTCTCTGTTCAAAGTCAATGTAAAGTTAGGGTGTCTGAACGATTTTTCAATTTTCAATATGGGATTGTTTTTCACCATTTTTGTTTGATATTTGAATAAAAAATGTAAACAGAATATTACATTTCAAATTTCAAGTCTCACCGATGTTTCTATCAAAAGATACAGCCCCTCCAGAACGCTGCAATATTCATATTGATTTGGCCAGAATCGACGAAAAAGACGTACACGCAGAGCTATGTTGTTTTGCTAAATTTAGCCAAACAGCTGTATAGCGCAATATGCAAGCGTATGCATAGCGTACGCATGTTATGCGCAACTTGCAGCTTGAGCCACGTTGTCTCCGCGATATGTGCCATTGACTAGTATGGCTAGCCGTTCGCACAATAAACCTGGAAGTGAATACACGTTACAGTCAATGGCAATATCACGGAGACAACGTGCACGTTGTCTCCGTGATATTGCCATTGACTATAACGTGTATTCACTTCCAGGTTTATTGTGCGAACAGCTATCCATACTTTCATTCACAATACGCGCATATGTTACGCGATGTAACCATGGTTTGGACTGAGCGGAGCTCCCGCCTCCCTAATTAGTTGATTCCAAATATGTGGGAAGAGTATTTTCAAACTGTTGTGCCAAATGATCCCTTGGGGCTAATTTTGGGGGTGCCCCCCCCCCCCCCTTGGGAAATATGGAGAAAAACCTGCTCTTTCATATGACACCTCATTTATTGAGTTTCACCTTCAGGATCACGAGGCCTAAAGGTTTGAATTTCAAATTTTTTCATAAAATCATTGACCAATTTTCACGGTCACGCAATGCACGTAGAATGCATAGGTAGGCAAATTCATGCAAAAAAATATATTCAAAAAATTGACTTGAAAACACATCAGACAATTAGTCTGAACCGAGTCTGAACCGAGTCAGGAGCAAATTTGAAGAAATTATATTTTTAAATGTTGTAAAACCAAAGATATAAGAAGAAAACTGCCCAAGTATATGTACTAAAAATCGTACATGTAAAATTGGTCGTATACATTCGACAGCTGAAAATGACGCGCACGGTTGCATTACATGCGTTCTCGAATCCAAAATCATACCTCACACACACACTCTCGCCATACCGCGAATGGTCCGTCGTGGGGAGCTGGCCGGCTGAGAGTTTGCAGCGATACCAATGCAGCTTCGGAGCTCCGCAGAGCTCCATTTTAGCGGGACTCGGAAAGGTTCGAGGTGGGAAGGCAGCGGCCTAGCTTTTTGCCCAAACAACGCTAGATCGGCTGCTGGCAAAATGAAAGTAACTACGATCGAAAACATCGTCGGTTTCTTAACTTTTCAGTGAGATAATTCTGAATTCTAATTGACACTATATAATAAATTAAATCGACAAAGAAACCTCGGTCGAACTCTTATAACTATACAAAAGGTTGTTTATTTCTTCATTTGACATTTTGTTTTCGACCATTTTTTCGTGCGCGAGTCAATGTAAACTATGTATTACCAAACTTTCAACACGCAAGGAACGGGGAACACTCGCGGACCTTGTAACAAATTCGTTGCAACAAAAAAAATTCAAGGGTGATTTTGAAGCAGTGAAGAACATTGGCGCTGCGATGCGCAGAAATATACTTGAAAGAAACTTAAAAAATCAGGCCTTAAATTTCGTCATTTTTAGGGCAAGGCCAGTTTGGCCTCGAGTACCTCATATTTTTAAGGGCACCAAGGCCAAAATATTTTTACAAAAAGGGCATCGAGGCCAAAATATTTTACAAAAAGGGCATCGAGTATGAGGCCAAAAAAATTGATTCTATTTTTGTTAGATGTCATGTGTATTTTATGAAACTTGTGCAGGATCAATTTCCCATGACTTTTAGCACCAGCTTCTTCACAGAATGTATAGAGGTCTACGGTACATACAAACAAGCAGGCGCGTAGCCACCCGGGGGGGGGGGGGCACATGCCCCCCCTAAAATTTCCAGGATCGGTTGAAATTTTGTAGACCCCTTTTTTTTACCTCGATCGATTACATGTATGTGCCCCCCCAAACACCAAACTCTGGCTATGCGCCTGCAAACAAGGCGGCGGCCCGCAAGCCTTAGATTTAGCAGCCAGGAGCAAGGGGCAATTTTTTTTTTAAGTTGCCCTTTGCCACGGGAATTTACCAGAGCAAGGGGCAATTTTCCAAAAACAGATAGGCCGCTTATCTAATCATAAGTTCAAAGAGAGTCTACAAATGTTAATTTCATAATGTGAATAGATCGAACGATCAATTTAATAACTTTTTAATCTTAACAATATGAACAGGAAAGATTGATTAAGAACATCAAACTTGCACATTAAACAGTATTTTAAAGTAACTAAAAATATTGATGAGCAAATGAATAAATAAATTGTCAATTTCACAAACATCGAAAGTCAGAAAGACTTAATTGGCAAGTTTACCGGGCCGGGTATTCAAAATCAAAATCGCACCTCACACACAAACCTTCCGCCATTCTCTCGGTAGTAGGAGCAAATTTGAAGAAATTATCTTTTTAACTGTTGTATAGAAAGGTCTACATAGATCTAGGCCTAACTAATGAAATAAGATGTAAAAATGTCCTTATACTACATTCGACAGCTGAAAGTGACACGCTCAGCTCAGTTGCGTAACGTGCATTCACGAAACCAAAATCGTTCCTCGCACACACACTCTCGCCACTTTTGGTGGGAAGCTGTCGGGCTGGAAGTTTGCCAGCGAAACCGATGCACCCTCGGAATTTTACCGGGACTCGAAACGTTCGTCTTGGGAAGCTGGCGGGGTAGCTTTTTGAAGCGAGGTCGGCAGGTGGCAAAATGAGAGTAACTACGATCGAGAACATCGTAGATGTTCTTAACTTATTAATAAGATAATTCTAAATTCTATTTGAGATAAAATAATAAACTAGGCCTACAAACAAACCTCGACAGATCTCTAATGACTATTTGAATGCTTGTTTATTTCTCCATTTGACGATTTGTTTTCTTGATCCTGGCCTTCGATTTGTACGTACGTGCGTGCGTCAACAGCATGCACCATATGCATATCATGCGATCGCATAATATGAACGTACGTACGTACGTGCGCTAGCGGATTGCCTATATAATAACAAAGGGCGCATTTTCACAGCACTTGCGCCTTATTAAAGCACTAAATACGAAGCTAGAAGAGAGCTCGTGGGCGGCAAACTGTTCGTGATTCGTGTATTTTTACTGTTCTAATAATTTATGGGCGCATTTTCACGGAAAACACTTGCGTCTTGCCGTCTAGTTTTAGATGATTATGGGCGCAATTGGTGGTTTTTTGTGCGCAAATTTAAAATAAAAAGGGCACGTCCAGTTGGAAAAAAAGGCACGTCGGCCAGTTTGAAAAAAAGGGCACGGCCTTTTTGGCCGTGAATATATCTTTTTTTGGGAGGGCACCGCGGCCAGTCATAGGGGCATCGACGGCCTGGCCGTCGATGGCCGTCGATTAATTTAAGGCCTGAAAAATAATACCTGAATTTTCAGAAAATCGTATTTGTATTAGTGTACCTAGATGTGACTTGTTTATAAATCAGATTTTATGAAGATTTGTCGGGAAAAAATGTCAATTTTTTCCGTTTGGTGGTCATTTCTAGGCTAATATTTTAAAAGTTGCATCAGTAATGGGCCCGATGTTTCTCTTATCGCACTCGCATGTTATTTCTACATAGCTAAAACATAGGATGGTTAAGGGTAAGACAAGATAACATTATAAAAAAGATATATCCTTCCACACTCCCATATCCAAGTTTTGGGCTGATTATTGCCGACCCACCGCAGCAAGGCCATTCAGATTTTCGTACGCGCGCAAAGCGCCCTCTAGTGCCCCATGAATGTGCCTAGCATAGGGATTAAGTTAATAGGGATGCGTGCAATCTCTACGGGAAGTATTTTAGCACACAACATCGGGTGCGCGACACCCTAATAAAGTGCATCAAGGAGGATCATTGCACTATCCGTTTTCGCATTGCCAAGGCGCGGATTGGAAATAAGATTATAAGAATCGTCTGCGAAAATGCGGACGATCCTCATTTTTTTAGGACGTGTCTGTCTGCCTTTATGAAGACGATCCTCGTTTATGCGGACGATCCTTTTTCTTGGACTAACGTCCCTAGTACTGCAGAGCTACCAAATGTCACGCATTATGCACGACGTCACATATTGCAAGGGGTCTGAAAACGCTCTCACGCACGACGTGCACGCTCAATTTCGAAAAAACGCTATGCTTTACGTGTATTCGTTAATAGTACCCTCACCCGCCTACAGTAGACCTACTGAGTGTAGATCTAGACTAGGCAAATTCATGCAAAAAAATATATTCAAAAAATTGACTTGAAAACACATCACACAATTAGTCTGAACCGAGTCAGGAGCAAATTTGAAGAAATTATATTTTTAAATGTTGTAAAACCAAAGATATAAGAAGAAAACTGACCAAGTATCTGTACTAAAAATCGTACATGTAAAATTGGTCGTAGACATTCGACAGCTGAATATGACGCGCACGGTTGCATTACGTGCGTTCTTGAATCCAAAATCGTACCTCACACACACAATCTCGCCATACCGCGAATGGTCCGTCTTGGGGAGCTAGCCGGCTGAGAGTTTGCAGCGATACCAACGCAGCTTCGGAACTCCGCAGCGCGCCATTTTAGCGGGACTCGGAAAGGTTTGCGATGGGAAGGCAGCGGCCTAGCTTTTTGCCCAAACAACGCTAGATCGGCTGCTGGCAAAATGAAAATAACTACGATCGAGAACATCGTCCGTTTCTTAACTTTTCAGTGAGATAATTCTGAATTCTAATTGAGACTATATAATAAATTAAATCGACAAAGAAACCTCGGTAGAACTCTTATAACTAGTCTATACAAAAGCTTGTTTATTTCTTCATTTGACATTTTGTTTTCGACCATTTTTTCGTGCGCGAAAAAAAAATTTCAAGGGTGATTTTGAAGCAGTGAAGAACATTGGCGCTGCAATGCGCAGAAATATACTTGAAAGAAACTTAAAAAATCACACCTGAATTTTCAGAAAATCGTATTTGTATTAGTGTACCTAGATGTGATTTGTTTATAAATCAGATTTTATGAAGATTTGTCGGGAAAAAATTTCAATTTTTTCCGTTTGGTGGTCATTTCTAGGCTAATATTTTAAAAGTTGCATCAGTAATGGGCCCGATGTTTCTCTTATCGTACTCGCATGTTATTTCTACATAGATTAAACATTACATAGGATGGTTAAGGGTAAGACCAGATAACATTATAAAAAAGATATATCCTTCCACCCTCCCATCTCCAAGTTATGGGCTGATTATTGCCGACCCACCGCAGCAAGGCCATTCAGATTTTCGTACGCGCGCAAAGCGCCCTCTAGTGCCCCATGAATGTGCCTATCTAGACCTCACCAGTTTTTTATTGCTTTCATTTTTTTAGTTAAATTTAATTTTAAAAACAGAAGACTGAAATCCAATGAATAAAACTTTAACACTAATAACAGTGTCAACTCGTAGTCCACAACAAACATTATTATGAATCATAATCATGTTCAGTTTATTCTTAAATTATTCACCACGGCACTGCACTGCTGGCGCTGGCACTGCACTGTTTACTGTTTTCAAATTTCAGCGAGTTGTTGTTTGTTGGTTTTCCAAACTTAGATTTTGTTCTTAGATACTCACAAACTGTGTTAAATCTTGGACATTTTTTCCATCAGCAGGATCTGCAATATCTTGCTTTGTGTCAGTCATGATGAATAGCAAAGGAATGAACGCAAAAGTAAGTAAGTAAATAAGTAATTTATGTTCTGGTAGCTGCTCTTGTAATGGCAATGCAATGGGAGGATTATTTTGTGTGAATTTGCAATGCAATTAATTAAAGGAGGTATTTCCGGACACATAAAACTTTGTAAAAATGCCATGTTTAATCAATGTGAATTTCTTTACAAAAAATAAAAATTATAGAATAAATTATTTAAATATATTTCGTGTTTTTGAATATATGAGATTACTTGTTATAATATTGAAATTGAAAAGATTTTATAATTATAAATGTCAATCATTGTGAGTGTGCCTGGAGATGTAGACGCTGTCAAATCAAACTAAGAAGACAAGCCGATGAATCGAAGTAAGTTTATGTTCTAGGTCTGAAATATGAATTGAAAATGTCACAGTAGACCTACTGTAGTGATGGATGTTTTAAATGTGGTGCGAATGAGGTAGTAATGATGTGCCATGGTGGTGATAATAAACTGCAAATTCTTAGTCAAGTAACCCGGGTAGTAGGCGTAGCTAGCAGCCGAGCTCGCCCTCGCCGCAAGCCACCCGAGCGTTGGGCGTTCACCCATGTGTCTCTTTCCGTTGGGGCTGCATCATCACGCGTCGCGTCAGTCGAGTTCGTTGGAGTTATGTTTTCGGACAGGTTGTGTATGCGACTATGCGGACAGTTGAACATCAATATGAATGAGTTAACAAGCTACATGCCTACATCACTGAATTGCATTGATCTTTCAAGATTATAAAGGATAAATATTCATGATGGTAGTGCTTTATTTGATGGATATTTTCTGTTGAACGAAAAAGCCAAAAATATAGCAGTCTTTAAAACTTAGACTCTAATACACGATGTTGTACTACTTGTAGGTCTAAGCCTGTTCATCGATCCAGGATTCTTCCATGAATGTTTATTAATAATACCCAGTGAAAGTGTGACCAAACAGTTGAAAACGGTAGTAATAACACACCAAGGCCTCTAGTAATACTATCTAGATTATCTACACAGTGCAACGCACTTTCACTGAAGACTATCTACACAGTGCAACGCACTTTCACTGAAAATTGTATGCATTGTGTATACTTACAGTACTGCATGCACTGTATGTATCGTACACCGTTTGACTTGTTGCTCCAAAATGATGGAAGAAGTGAAATGTTTCCAATGTGGAATATAGATCTAAAGCAAATAATCAACTTTTGGTTCCAGGCGATGGCAAACTATCACTTCCTCGATCTGCGATCTGAATGGATACGCTATCTTTCCTCAGCTTCGCTTTATTGGAAAGAAAGCTACATCCAGATTGCCTCGGAAGTGATAGTTTGTAGTAATTATTTGCTTACCATTGAAATTTGTTGACAAATAAATTCAACACTCATAATAGTAGGCATGCTTTATCTTTGTCAGAATGGCTGATGCCAGCAGCCCCAGCAGGCATGGGAGAGACTTGGCTGATTATCTGGGGAAACACAGAAGACAACAGAAACAAGGATATGCATCTCCCAAGAAAAGTGCTCAAGTATCCAGGTATGTGTGGTCTTCATCCATACTCTCGTAGCTCCTAGGTCTTTAAATGGGACTTCAAAAGTTTTGATGAATAATAGCTCAAAATCTTAAATCCGTATTAAACATGAATTTTGCTTATTGAAAATCAATTGGAAGGATGTAAAAATGTATTTGGAGTTCAGTTTGTGATATTTCTGCAAGTAATATTTGCAGAATGATGATTTAGATCAGGGACCAACACTAACAGGGCCTGGTACTCAGGCCCTCAAAATTTCAACATTTTATACAGGGGCTCATTCATCGTATATCCTAAAAATTTGATACAGCACGACCCCTTCAAAAAAGTTTGTGTGTAGGTCTGATACATTGTCAGTAAGCAGTTATTCGCATTTTGATCAAATTTGATGCAAATATCTCTTTGTGTTGCCCATACATGAATTATTTCATTCACCTGTTACAAATAATTGTATATCAAAAGTCAGAATGTAAGTTACATAGAACAAACATTATGGCTTGTCCAACCTAAAAATTTGTAATGTAAAGCAGATCATGACATCCCTTACTAAAATTGTTGATGACAACGGATAGCATAAGTTCATGGCAGGTGCAATGCTGTATGCCAATTGTCATTCTACATTCTAAAATTTGAATTAGTGACTCTTTGTATATTGTGTAATCTGTGTATACATGTAGTTTGACACCTGGGCCCCATTTCACAAAACTTGTCATCAGTGAAAAATGACAGTTTTTGTTATAAACTAGTGAAATCCTTGCTTATGATTGGTTATCAGCAGATTTGTCCCTAATTTTTGTCCTTTGTCATTGAAAATGTGTCATTGAAAAAAGTTTTTGCGAAACAGGTCCCATATTCGCATTGACATGCACTTCTTGTCAATACTTCTCCTTAATACAGAGATACACAAGAGATGCCTCGTCTTGAAAAACTTCGGCTCAGAGATGCATCACCCCCATCATCATCCTCCTCCTCCCCATCAAGAGGAGCAAGAATAAAACCAATGCTCGATTCTTCATCTCAGTCAGTCAAGAGGGGTACCTCTGCTCCCCTTCCAGCCAATGGAAGGGGCAGGGGACGAGGGGTGAGACCTGTGGGCAGACTTAATCAACAGCCAGTCAGGAGCTTCAAGAGAAAGGCTACTATGGACGAGTGAGTTATATGGCATGCGTATGCTCCCATACTCAGAGCTTGTTTGTTTGTGTCCGAAGATTGTTGTAATTTTGTTTCAAAATACCTGAACAGTGTTGTTACAGAATTTAAATACGTCTAGCTCTGCTATGCCTGATACATATTTTCTCTAAAGTCACAATTTTGGCATTAAAGTAGGCCTTTCCTTTGCATTTTATTTAACAGAACTAAGATAATAGAATCTCATTTTAGGTGCAGGGTGCGAAAGTGCCATTAGCGACAGCAAATTATACAACCACATCATAATTTGCATCTACCATATATTGGTTTAGAAGTACAAGGTTATATTGTAACCTTTTATATTGGATGAGTGCTTGCTGCCTACCATCTTGCATACATATACTTTCTTGGGATCACAATTTATCATCCTATTTTAACTATTCATAAATAATATAAACATACATTTTTTAATATTTTTTGTGCTGCAGCCTGCCAACAGAAGTCCTGTTACATGTATTCAGCTTCCTGCCTCCCAGTGACCTTTTGACCTGTGTGTGCATCAATCGACAATGGATGGAGCTTGCCAGTGATAAGTAAGGAATTTTTACTGTCAATAGACTAGTGTTCCTTCGGTTACATTCTTAATTATATATGAATTTGTATGTACTCCTTTTGTAATACAATGTATATGATATGATAAAAATATAAAAGAAAATGTTACTGTAGTTTTTCTATTGACCCAAAGGCACAAGGGGTACAATTTTTTCATTAAACTTTGTTTCAAAATTTGATGTCTTATGATATTATTTGTATGATAAGCTGCAGTAATCAAAATCCTAGACCTATATGCATTGAGGATAGTTGACCACAAAATCAAGTGCTCATGACATGGTTGGATTTGTCCCAATTTCCAAAAATACACCTGCAAGATAAATATCAACATACAGTAATGACCTAGGTCCCCTGAAACAATACCTGCATTTTTTTTTCTCAAGTGAATAAAAACTACATAAGGCGGCAGGTCACATCCATGAGTGCCTTTATGTCCTACCATAAGGCCTAAAAAAAGGAAGATGTTGTATTGCCCTGTAGGTGTCAAAACATGGGTCGGTCAGTCGGAAAGCATTTATCTTTACTTTTTTTTTTTTACTTCCTCTTCTCAGTTTTGAATGTTTTTCTTTTTAAAAAAACGGTTACAAAAATAAAACTCTTTTAAAAAGTCAACCGTAGATTTCAAGATTTTGGGGTCGGTCGCAAAGGGCAATACAAAAAAAAAATTTTAGGCCTTCGTTAGACCAAAATAAGACAAAGATTTAATACTGAAACTGTTACTTTTTATAGTTTATTTTTTGAAAACCAAGTGGCACAGAAGTCAATCAATAACACCAGAGCATTTTTGTGGTACGATCTTTTGCTGCAGTGAACTTTGGCAGCCCCGCTAATGTACGCCTCTATGAAGTGGAATAGAAAGCATTGGGTCAAACCAGAGTATTTGTATATCTTTTGCTGCAGTGTACTTTGGCAGCCCCTCTATCAACGCTATGCAACTCGGCCATCAAGCAAGACGCCATCGACCAAGAAGGAGACTAAACCCAACCTAGTCTACTCCCTACATGCCGACATCAGGTGGAAGAAAGCTTGCATAAAAGAGTAAGATACAACTAGCGTCAATTGATTCCTTAAAAATTTTGAGGCTGCAACATAGCTGCCAACCATTCTTATTTTGGATACCGGTAGACGATACCTACTTTTTGGCCCTGAAGCTAATGTTATGAATCCTAGATTCCTCTCTTTTGTAAAAAGTATACTAAATGCTGTATTCCCAGTGACGCCTTGAGGGATTCCAAATTTTTGCCTTGAAGTTTGGCAGATATGCTGTAATGGCATCCTTGCTGAAGCCGGGGTAATATTTTAATGGAGCGCCAGAAGTGACATTGTGCCAGACATGAGCGCTGAACAAGACTCCACTGTTATTATCGACTCGTACTTTGCAATATTATTAGTATTTTTCTTTGTGTGAAAGGAGTCAGGGGTAGTTGGTCTGTTTGGTCCTGTATGACATAATCATACTCGAGGATCAAAGGAAGAAGCTCTTTCTTTTTTGATGATCTAATCTTTTACATAAACATGTGATTTATTAATTGTCAGAATTATCTTTTTCAGTGGTGATTACAGACACTCCCTTATTTAGCCACTGTTTTCTTTGCCAGCATTACATTGTTTATGCCTCAAAGGTATTACTTAAGCAATAGCCTTAATCAAACATTGCAGGTAATGTAGAATGTAAAGCATTGCCCTTATTAGCTCTTTGTGAAGCTATTATTTAGCCAAAAAATGTTATCAAATTGATATACATTTATTAAGAGTTGAAGCTTTCAGTGCCATTTGATAGATGGCATTCTAAACTGTAGTATCGATGAACTCGTCCAATGCCAATGATTGTGTTTTCCTTTCCTTTCGCATCTGCAGATGTATTGAGAAGAGAAATTCACGTATCTCAACTTTACTCAAGAAGAAACACCCATTCTCTTTTCTGCCTGCCAACACAGAGAAGACGATTCAGTAAGTTCTTCTGCCATATTCTTGAGTTCAACAACATATTTTGTATTATTGAAATATCTTCTTGGACATTCAGTGGTTGCCAGGTACAGTGAAACTTGTTTATAAAGACTGCTCAAGGTAGACAAGAAAATGGTCTTTATAGGTAAGTGTTCTTTTTTTTTTTCTTCACTTTCCTTAGTACATGTTTTCAATGGGAAAACATTTTCAATGGACAAAAAAGTGTGTCTTCATAGATGTGCGGTTGCTTAAGGCAGGTTTGACTGTATAATCGTTACATTAAATTAGAATGATGTACATTTTGAAGGGAAATTCTCACTCTGTACTAATCATGTCTATTCTGGCTACATGAGCCTCTTCCGTGCCACCAATACAATGGATTAAAAATCCCCAGCGCCATTTAGTGACGCCAGTGTTTTAGTCAATTTCAATATGGGAAAAATTCGACAAAAACATCAGCTGTAGCATTAATTGTTATATAACCTTGGAGATATAGGGATTTACTCATAAGTTTTGGTTGGGAAGGTTGCAATAGTTTATCAGGGGTCAAATTTTGTGCTGATACCAAAAATATTAGTCTTACTCACGACGTTTTGGTCATTTTGATCGTTGGCTTTGCCACCTACAGCATGGGAGGGTTGCATCATTCTCGAACACAAAACCGCAGGAGTCAAACGAATTAACCACTGCACCACAATTTTTGTGTTATTTCATTCCCTGTCAACTGCATGCAGTAATCTCAATGTGCATTTTTGTCCTTGGCAGAAAGCTTGGCATTCAGTGGCAACTGGTCTTCACAGACGCCAACAAGACTGAACACCGCTTCAACCATTCCGATGCATTCCACTTCCACACCTCATCCTCTGTCAGATGGTACAGCCTTGACCCTCCTCCCGTCACCTCCCTAAGATGCCTGGCCATCTATGCACAAGCACCCATCTTCTTCAATAAAGATGGGTCGGCTGCTAAGAACAGGTACGTTAAGCATCCTATTACTGTAAACGTAATATTCGCGGTGCTTTAATTTTCACGGATTTCGCGCTAAAGTTGGTGTTCGCGAATATCAAAACCTGCAAATATATAAGCATGACTTCTTATGCCTGTTTTGAACGAGCTGAAGTGCGTGCAACGCGAATTTAAGAACCCGCGATTATGTTTTGGGGTTGCTCACCACGAAAAATTTATCACGCGAAAATAACAGCATAATCTGCATTTTCTATCTTGAATTCTCTAAAATATTGTCTTGATAGCATGATAATTTTGCATTGTCTGTGGCTTATTGTGAGTCTAAACAACTCAGTTTTAAGGCATGCAAAAGCATTCCCGGTTTTACAATATTTGGATTTCAAGGTCTATGTCTGAAGCCCTAACTAAACCACTTTTATTTTGTAGGTAAAGATGGGTCAGCTGAAAGAAGAACATTTGCGTGTTTTTATATTTTATATGATTAATAAATAAGTGGCATATGACCGAAGCACAAACCCTTCTTTATACAGTTAAATTGGTTGTAAGAATATAGATGCAGCATGAAACTGTATACAACACCTTAAGCGACCGTAATTTGATGATTAAAGGCTTATTAATTTCTGCTCTTTAAAAACCTATTTTGTTATAGCTCAATTCAGTCCAAGGGCTACAGAATGACATTTCCAGAGAATTTTCAGTTTTGAAAAAAATTATATTTCAGACATTTTAATAAAATTATATGATATAAACTAACATTAGGAACTTTCACAACAGTTAATTTTTGTATCAACCATTCGTCATATTTATAAATTATTGTATTTTAAATAGCTTTATTACAGAATGACTGAAAATTGACTTTTTATGTCAGTCCGTAAGAATTTCAATTTCAATAATTCATAAGTTTGATGAATGGTTGATGGGAAATCCATGTGTTGTAAAAGTACCTCATATTAGTCAATATATCATATCATTAATTTTAGATTTGTTTTTTAACGGTCTATGATATTCTTTATTAATGATTAAAGAATTCTTTGGAAATGTATTTCCGTAATTCTTGGAATTTACCTTTTCAAATATTTTTGATATTCCAATGTCTTTTCCAGTCCATGCCAACGTGCTCTACTACTAGAACAGAGAATCAAACCAAGTGACCTTACCAAACACCCAATCGTTAAGAGTGACGCTATCAACGTGTATACTATCGATGGAGGAATCATATTAGCAACATGGAAGGTAAGTACAGTGTTAATGTTAAAAGTTTAGATGAAATGAAAATGCTTAAGGAAGTAGAGCCTTATGTAGGTTATATTTTTTAAATAGATAGTTACCATTTTATTTTGGAAATGTTTTTTAGGATGTAGTACTTTGGTAAAGTTGATATTTTTTCTTTTTTTATTAGACTTTTTTTTTATAGCTGATAGGAGGGATGGCCCACTTTGCATTACTACACGAATATAATGTCTTTTATTGTTTATACAACTCTTTCATTCAAAGTTATATGTGCGTCTCACATCAATGATGGTTTATTAATCTGTTAATGCAAGCAATACACGGCTTGCACAAATAATTTCATTTGAATAGCTACCAAAGCTGCATCATTTATGCTTACATGTAATAACATTTAAAAGATAAGAACATGATTAACGTTGTAAAAACAAACATACCGGTACTTTATACAAGTACAGCAAAGATAGATGAAATGGCATTCCCAAGTATAGATATTGCATATGATCTGCTTTAGAATAAATTACAATTGCATTAGTCTTTTAAAAAACACAATCAAAATAGACTTAAAACCGACATGTGTTAGTATGAACAAGGGGAGAAGACTTTGAAAAATTTCGGAAAGTCAGCACTCAACCTTTCTATGATATACCTTAGATCAGAAAATCATTAACTTTTGATTGTTTAAGTAAATTGATCAAATAAGGTAGCTGGCTATTTTTGAAATATTTGAAATGTACTTAAATATGTGTTTGAATAACGTAATACATGATACATAGTGACAGTGTATTGTTTTATTATTTCTTGGTGAGATTGACAGCCTAGAGCACTTTACAATCATGCATCAAGTACCAATTTCACCAAATGTGGAAATAGTGACTTCAAACCCTCCCCTTCAAATGTTTTTTTTTTAAACAGATGTCTGTGTGCTATAAAAGCTCTCAATCATCATCATCAGCCCCCTGTTTGCTATTGTTTTCTATAATGTAGGAAGGAGGGGAGGTGGCCTTTGTCTCTTTATGTCTTCACCATCATGGTATCATACAACGTGCTGTCTACGGAACATCAGAAAGGTGAGTGTGACCTTGCGACACGGTGATACAGCAATTGCTCTGGCAACCTTTGCTGCAGGATTTATTTGTGAAAATTTGAATGGCTAGGATGTGATGCCTTTTAATTTGGGACTAGGGTTAAGTATGAATTCAACTTTTATAGAAATTTTGGATGTTCATTCAAGGATTTGAAGGTCACAGGGTCAGAAAAGGCCGTAAGGAAAGCTCTAAAAAGAAATATCTTGTTACCATTTAGTTCAGGTGATTTTTAACCAAACTTGAATCAAGCTTGCATAAGCATGAAACAATTATTTGATCAGATTTTGTGTTGGAGAGATCAAAGGTGAAAGGTCACATGATCATAAAAGAGTAAAAAGAAATCCCAGGAAACAGTTTGTTACATTGATAATATGAGAACCATTAAGGCCACTTTAAGCAAACTTGGTTCAAGTATGTATAACCACACAAAAGGATAAACTGGTCAGATTTTGAAGTTAAGAGGTGACAATCACATTCAACTTTTTTTAAAGTGTTTTGCCTTATTTTTCTTTTTAGAATGCATATCCCTGCTGCCATCAAACCAAAACCTGATGACGTGGATTCTGAATATGGTAAGACATAGCATTGACTGCTTGCAGGAACAACTGAAAGAAAAGAAATGAAAAAGAAATTATCTCTAACTTATTGTATAAAAACTGGTTTAATTTCACCTCTAAACTTAAGTTATGTATGTAAAGAGAAAATCATATGATACATAGTGTCGATGGCCTCTATCCAGATTGGAATAACCAGTTTTACCAAATTTAAGTTAAAAAATAACGTCCAAGAACTTCTGTTTGTTTTTTATTTTGTTTTTGCCTTCTTTCAATTTTTCCTTCCCCTTTTGTTAAACCCCCCCCCCCCTCCCCGCAAAAAAAGAAGAAAAAGAATTTAAAAGTGATCCATATTCTCATGCATTCATAATCTAGTTCATAGGATTGTAGTGATAATAATTCTTTCAAAGTCACCAGAAAAAGTACTAAAAATGTGTAATGTTTTTCTTTTTTTTTAAATGTAGAAGGCTTAACCCATTGCCTACTGTAACCAGGTTATTCCTGTATTAAACATATTGACAATGTAGAGATTCAGTAGTCAACAGGTTAATATAAAATCCTTTCTACTTGACAGGTTTACATGATTACACCTGTATCATGGAGTTAAGAAACCAGAGGACATCATTCTGGAGTCAACAGTTCTTGAGACTACACGCAAACAAGCAAGAAAAGGGTATGTTTACCAAACATACTATGTACAGTAGTATCCAATCCCGGGGGGGGGGGGGGGGGGGGGGGGGGGGGGTCACAAAGATTCCAAGTCGAATTTAACTCTAAGTTGGACTTAAATATTATGGAGAACCATTTGTAGCCTTAAAATGAAATACATTAAAAAACAAAGTTCAAGTATTTTAGACTTTTCATAAGTTCCACATCAAGAACATGAAATCTCCCAAGATAATAGAAAATATGAATGATTTGAATCAACATTTGATGCTTTTTAAAATAATTTGTACAAAATATTCTCAATGATGCTGACGGCTTTCCATAATTATTTAGTTCAACTTAAAGATAAGTTCAACTTACGATCTTTGTGAAACACCCCCCATGTGTCATATAAAATTTGTCCTACTATATACCGAAAACATGTATGTGCTCTTTTATAAAAACACACTATACACATTTTGCGATCCAATTACGATCTGATGTGGAAAGAAAGAGCATTGTCATTAGATTTGATAATTTGAATATGTAAAGGGCACACCTACCCCCCCCCCCCCCCCCCCCCCCCCCATAATCTTGACAGCAGGCCAACACATCCACTATTTAAAATTACATATTAAAACTTGGTCTGATATGTTATGACTCTGCCTCATATGTGACATATCAAGAAAATCAGTGCTTACAACTTGTGCTTGGAGGCCATACATTCTGACGACAAGAATATATAAACGTGTTTCCTCACCTTCTCAAACATGGAAAGATGCTAACTCATCTCATTTAACACAGGTTTGCTCTCAACAGACAATATATTGCTTTGGTCACTAGGAGGCAGTGTTCATCATCTGATGGCTTCTTGTACCTTTCGATCACTGTCTCTCTTGTCTCTCTCTCTCTCTATCTGTCTCTCTCTCTTTCTACTTCTCTCTTTCTGTCTCTCTCTCACACTCTCTATCTCCCTCTCTCTCTCTGTCTCTATCTCTCTCTATCTATATCTTTCTCTATCTATATCTCTCTCTTCCAGTCTCTATCGCTCTCTCTCTTTCTGTTTTTCTCTCTCCAACCGAGTTAAGAAAATGTATTGCATCGTGGTCGAGTGGATATGTCACCGGACTGTCGATCACAAAGTCTGTGGTTCGAGTCCCGCCGCGGCACTAATTTCCTTTGGCAAGACATTGATCTACATTTGCCACACTCTACCCAGGTGAATTCCTTGAAATGCTAGAGTGCCGTAATAGTAGCCATGCTAAAGCCAGGGTAATAATCGGGAGCGCCAGAAGTGTCAAGTCTGACAGACATGAGAGCTATACAAGAACCCATTATTATTATCAGTCACATTCACTGCTATAACTGAAGTGTGTTGACCTCTTCCTGTCCTTCTTGTGTACTTCCCACCCTAGTTGATGGCTTTATAAGATTCAGCCCTGTGAGAGGGGATGTCTTAACTGATCACTCTTATACCACCAAGAAGATACAGTTTCCATGGAAGACGGATGTATTTAAGGGAATTATCCAGGTATGTCAAATATACTCTTCTATAAGAACATTTCCTCCCCAGCCCAAAAGTACCCCAGAATAATCACCCCTTAGTAAGTGGTATCTGTTTTAATTCAGTGGATATAGGTGTCCTAGGGGATTATTTTTGAAGGGAGAGGGCTTAAAGGCTTTTTTGGTAATATAACAAAATCAATGCATACGCTTTGTGAAGTGCCTTGATACAATTTATTTCATTCACCCATTCACAAATAATTGTATCTTAATAGTCAGAATGCGAATTGCATACAGTATTTGTTGCTAGGTAGAACAAACATTATGGCTTGTTCTACCTAACAACACATAATATATGCAATTTGCATTCTGACTATTGAAATAGGATTATTCTTAAACATGTGAATGAAATCATTTGTATCGAGGCACTTCACTAAGGCACTTCACTAAGGCATATGCATAAATTTGGTTACATTACAAAAAAAATGCATTATTAACCTTTGGGGCATATTTCAAGAAGAGAGTTTCAGGTGGATGGGTGGGGGGGGGGGGGTAATAGTACTCTGAAGTCCCAATGCTTGAAGAGGGAATTAGATGAACATGCTGGCACAAACTCAAAAATTAAAAAGGCGATTGATAATTTGCCAGAAATATTTGACATACATGTATAACCCTTGTAGATGTATCTTTTTATTAGAAAATGTGTATTATGGAGTGCACTGCTTGTGCATAAATGAATAATGATTACATACCGTAACTTTCATGAGCACGTATCCAGTATTTTGTCTCCATGTATTTCACAAGCTGCAATAACCTTTCTCTGCTCATGCTCGGACTACAACTATGAATTGGCTTATTGCAGGACAACTATTTGATGACAGATTTATATTGTATAATAAACCTACATACTCTTAACAAAAGTTTTCCTTGACAACTAAAGCTTGCCAGAGGCTTGTACGACATATCAACAACTAATGTATGCAAAGTGTATTCCATCCACAGAGATGCCACTATTGATAGCAGGTGAATGAAATGCCTGGTAACCAGGGTTTAGTGAGAGAAACATGCATAAATTTAAACACATTAGTAAACAGGTCTGTTGGCAAAGAGTTCTGTGATGACATGTCATGATGACAATCTTTTATTGAAAGATTGTTCATATATTTCATACTGGAATATGGTAAGTTAAGTAGATTACAATGAATTATGCTGCATTATTGTAGAGCGCTTAGAGACTTCTGATAAAGTAAGTGTTAGGCGCTATATAAGCAAGGATAATTATTATTACATGTCGTTGAACTTGTACTGTTATCTGTGATTTAATAGGATTTTGCTGTACTAGATTGCACCATCTTTGACGAGTTCCAGCAACTAATGTGGTGCATCAGGTGAGGAAATTTCTTCTTAAGTGTACAAGTTTATTTATCATATTAAGTGAAAATGATTTTTAGATTCAACAAAAAATCTTGTATTTATATGACCAGAAAATATGCAGATGAGCTATTGATGTTTTGGGGGTCACGAAATGCAATCATTTTCACAGATTTTCGTTCATTTTATTTTGGGGTTCCAAAGTTGTACTACTATGGGTTTGAGTCAAAGATACTATACTAGTTCTAACTCTGAATGTAATGACAAGCGGTTCTAAATCAATTTCTGTGACCAGAATTGTAAGTGAAGTTAAAATTAGGTCTTTTGGATTTTCCAAAATGAAGGGCATATCTATGCCCCTAAATGCTATTATTTAAGCTATTATAAATTGCTTTTAATATATCATTAATTTAATGGTATATTACAGTTTATTTGATCTCTTTCTGTATGTTTGTGCCCACAGTTCTCCTGTAATGATATCACCTGATGAAAATGCACCTGGTAAGTGAAGGAGATTTAATATTATGTTTGTTTGTTGTTTGTTTGTTTGTTTGTCTTTAGTTTTGTTGTTATTTTCAAAAGTGAAGCAAAACGTTGGTCTTCAAGAAATACATTGCTACCAAAATCCATATTTTATTTTGAATAAATATATTTTCAATTATTTAATATCACCATGCACAAGAACATCAAAAGGATATTTATGGATTTTTGTTATGACAACATTTTTTTTAAACAGTGTGTATCACTCAAATGTAGTGGCCAAAAGATAAATATTCAGCATTTTACCTTGCCCCCTCAATTCTTCCCCCCCCCCCCTCTCTCTCTCTTCTTCCTCCTGTCAAAAAATAAAACAAGTCAATCCCCTGTACTAATTCCTTGTTTCAGTTTTATGCTTGAATATTTGATCTGTATACTTGTATTAATAATCGTTGTGATTAGACAACAGTTTGTATTTGCTATGTAATGTTAATTTTGATGTTAATTTTTTTTTTTAATGTTCATTTGCAATTCAGCTTATTGCTGTAAAACATGTCTAATAAACCATTTTGGAATGAATTGAATCAAATTGAGTTGAATACTGTTCTTCAATAGAAGTACTGTAATATATCAAATGTATCTTCAAAATTATCTCTTGTTATTGATAGTTACTATGGAGTATGATGGAGAGCCCTACGTCATTAATCATTCAGCTCACAAGGGTCATGTGGAGATACGCACGTTCTGGGTGAGTGTGTATTGCGTTTGATTAGAATTAAATTTTTCACTGCATTATTTTTTTTAATGGTACTTTTTTAGCAAGTGATACTCGATTCCAGAATAACATTTAAAACCAAGATCATATGGGAGGTGACAGCACTGTAGAAATATTTCTAAAGTCTAAACGACTCCTCTAGCCCTTTTCAGACAATCATTTCCCCATTTTGTGAGTTGGCTCAATAACTTTGGATTCAGAACCAAAAGAAATATTCCAAATGCATCAGCAGAAAGAACAAACGTTTCTGCTCGCCCTGTTTCCATTCAAGTATAACATTTGATGCCAGGAAGTTTAAAAAGGAACATAGGCTTTTAAACTCTTAAATTGACAACACGTTGAGAGGTATGATTAAAATCATTGTTGTTTTTCATCAGCTTCTGCTAATTTTTCAATTTTATGACAAAGTTTCTACCCAAGTCCTTTGTTTTCAGCAACATTACATTTTATAAGAACAATGGATTGAAACAATATATATTTTTGCCAATTATAAATTTAGCTTTTCAAAACCCAGTTCTGAAAGGGCTAGTTGCCGTTTATACGGTAGACCACAAGAGCAATGTTCGTCCTGCTGTCAAATGTCAATGTTCTTGTTCAAATTGGACTGTCTTTCCCCCCACAAATGCAAACTTACACAGATTTTACTGCTTGTATTCAATTCAAACACTGTCATTACTTCCTTGCATAATATATCCCCCAACTATTCCATTACCCCCCCCCCCCCAGATCCCTGATCGTGGGCAGCACATCATGGTCGCTGTAAACATCGATATAGCCGTGAAGACGATCAATGATTGGTTTGGAACCCGCTACTAGCATCCTGCGTGTCCCACAGTTCTCTGATGGTGCATTAGCTGGCATAGTTCATCTCTTCTTTCATTCCATCACACCGTGGTCGCTGTCAACATGAATATAGCCGTGAGGACGATAAATGATTGGTTTGGAACTCACTACTAGCGTCCTGCGTGTCACACAGTTCTCTGATGGTACATTAGCTGGCATAGTTCATCTCTTCTTTCATTCCATTTCAGTACTAGAAAATAATGCTCAAATGTCTACCGATGTTACATTGTGTGTAGGTTCATTGCCGTCCTCGGAGCATAATAGTAAACCGAGAATTTTGTCAGTTTACGAACATTATACATCTTGACGTGTAGCTTTAAAAGATATTAAGTGTGTGATTTGTAATACATAGAGATATATATATTTATAAGTGTAATGTTTTGTTTGTGAAGTTTTTACTAAGCTTTAATACAGCAACAAAAATCATGAGGTTTCAAAATTTGTGTGTGATTCGTAATTATAGAGAGATATGTATTTATAGTGCATTTATATCAAACCGAATACTTTTAATACATTTAATTAATTGATGGTGAAGTTTATTCCCCGGGGCTTGTCTTTTACAGTGGTGCGAGTGGTTTGCTGCACCACAGTTTTAGGGTAGGGATCTCTTCAAAATGTACAGTCAAACCGGTCTTTGAAGGCGCTTAAGTGAAACAGATGGACTTTTTAATTCTACAGTATTCCCCCTTCAGGGTTGCAATTGGGTTAGGTATAGTGTTGGGTCTATAGTTTAAGTTACAGAATTTGGAGGGTGTAGGAAATTGACGCAGAGCAATTGTCGCAGGAGCAATTGTCGCAGGTGCAATCAAGTGTCGTACAATTCAATTTATTGTTTCATTAAAAAAATCACATACAACATTTATACATTGAGAAGTGTACTGGATCATTAGCACCAGACAAATGTAGAAAATACAAAACATTAAAAATTCACAATATAAGAAAATGCAAGACGTAAATAAGACATTACAAACTAAACACAATTATAATACAGAACGATATCATTTAGATGGTAATTGTATGCATCAGGGAAGTCATTTATAAGTGGCAAGAAGACGCAACTTGGATTTGAAAGAATTTAAAGTGGTCGCATTTTTATGCCTCGTTACGAAGTAGCCGGAGGCATTATGTTTTCGGGTTGTCCGTCCGTCCGTCCGTACGTACGTCTGTACGTACGTACGTCCCGTTCTTGTGATCGCGTTATCTGAAGAACCGATCGATGGATTCCTGCCAAACTTTGGTCATGTATGTATCTTGCAGAGCCGATGTACGGATTAGATTTTGGGGTCATGAGGTCAAAGGTCAAAGGTCACAGGGCTCATTAGGTATGCAAAAACAGCTCGTGATCGCGTTATCTGAAGAACCGATTGATGGATTCCTGCCAAACTTTGGTCATGTATGTATCTTGCAGAGCCAATGAACTGATTCGATTTTGGGGTCATGAGGTTAAAGGTCAAAGGTCACAGGGCTCATTATGTATGCATAAACAGCTTGTGATCGCGTTATCTCAAGAACCGATTGATGGATTGCTGCCAAACTTAGGTCATGTATGTTACTTGCAGAGCCAATGAACTGAGTAGATTCTTGGTTCATAAGGTCAAAGGTCAAAGATCATGGGCTCATTATGTGTGCAAAAATAGCTTGTGAACGCATTCTCATTAGAACTGACAGATGGATTACTATTTAACTCAGAACATCTTGCAGAGCCAATGAACTGAGTAGATTTTAGGGTCATGAGGTCAAAGATCAAAGGGTCATATATGTATATGAGAAATTGCTTGTAATCACGATATTCTGAGAACCTGTCAATGGATTACAATTGAACTTGAATCCGAAAAATTTCTTCTGTTTTGGTTTGTAAAATTGCTCTATGACGGAGGCATCATTTTCGACTGCGCGCAGTCGAATTCCATCTAGTTAATTGAGTTTTGAATATTCCATAATTCACCTCCTTTTTGTTGTATAGAATTAACCCTTCGTAATTTTAAACATGAATATGGCAAGAAAATGTTATTTTTTTGTCTTGCGTTAACATTATGATTCTTGTCAACTGTAACAAAGTAAATATACAAATTATTTGTATAACAATACATAAAGACTCCTGTTTTAATTGTTACATTATCAGAGAAACTCAGTTTCTTAAACAAGGGAGGGTATGGGCAAGACAATGGAGTTTGAAAATAGACAAATGGCTTTCTTTTGTAAAGTATTTCAGCCCGTTTAAATGACACGAGCTGGCTCCTATACAAGACTACACAAATCAAAATAGGGCAGGACGATGGCATTGTACAAAGTGAAAAAAAATAACATAGCTTACTCAACATACCAATGGACATGCTAAGCTTTCCACGAATGGAGTTGATGTGATTAAAGGTAATACAAAGTTTTGGTATGGGGTCATGAATTTGGTTCAAATGAACATATTGGAAGCATATGCGATCCTACAATAGTCAGTGATCGTTGCTGCGGTTGAAATCGAGTCTAAAGTTATGGAATTATAAATAATTAACTCTTTATGTTGTAAAGCTCCCTCTCAAGGTCAAGATATTAATTAAGCTATAAAACAATGTTTCTTGACTAAAATCGACCGATTAGCTATTCCCGTTTAGAAATTATATATCACAACTACATAGTCTGAGATTTTCATGTTCGCAGCTACCATTATGCGGCCGTATAGGCGCTATTTAAAAATTTATCAAAATTTACCGGGAGCACCGGTAAATTTTTATATTCAATTTTTCTCGGAAGCAGGATTGTTTTAGGGGCTAAATTTTCTAGCGCTTATAATACATCCACGGGGGCATCCAAATATATCAAAATTGTAAAGAATCACTATCCACCCAATTTCAAAATTTCCCAAAACTTTGTATTACCTTTAACCCAAGTTAGCTTATCATCTATCTGTAGGAAGTTTGTACTGCTTCCTCTTTGTATTTCATGGTTGTGCTATTGAAAAATCAAATTGAAGATGTTGGCCCTTATTTGAACAAAAATCCATATATTTAGTGCCGTATTCAGCATGTGAAATAAATATGTTGGTATCGTCCGCATATAACACAAAATGTAATAATTCAGATGTATTGATTATATCATATATATATCAGAAATAACAAAGGACCAATTATACTCCCTTGTGGTGTTCCACACACCACATGCATTATCTCAGAACTTTAAAAAAAAAAAAAAAATAAGGATACTTACAATCACTTGCCATCTTCAATAAAGGAATCAGAGACGAACAAATTTCTAATAAATGATTTATAATCATTCATTTTAATGTAATGAAAAACAAATTACATTTTAAAAATGCATAAATGATGAAAAAGAAATTATGCATTTCAAAAAGTAGTAGTAGCAGTGATAAAATTTAAAATAAGTGTAATAATAATAGTAATAATAATAATAATCATTAACCAATCACAAACTGACCAGGGGGCGTGCCAAATGAACTATGGCAGGCCATTCATGCCACTGGTTCTCACTATCTCTCAGGGACGTCACAAATCGTTGAAGTTTACCTTTTTGATGGTTCATTGTTGAATAAAAAAGCTACTTACATTGTAAACTTAAATTATATTGAATACTTGGACTTACACTACGGTATGTGATTTGATTATGTCCTTAAAAAGTCTTGACAGAACCAGATGTGAAAAATTAGAGAGAAAAACCTTAGAAATTATTATCTTTAGATAATATTTTTTCCTTCAAAAATAAACTATAAAAAAGGTAAATGCTGTAGATTTGTGACCACGATTTGTACGTCCCTTGAGAAAACAATGCCAGGAATGGTTATAGAGAAATTAGGGCCATTATAGTGCAGTATGGTATGTAATCCTGTAGGATTTTTTTGCCAAAGTTTTTTTTTTTTTTTTTTTTTTTTGTTGCTCTTTTGGCTTCAAAAGGGTCCCAATTGGCAAAAAATGATGGGGTTCAAATTTTCAGACCCCTCCTTCATTTCCTGGGGGGTCCATATTGGGCGCCAAAATGGCATATATAACAGGAAATAGGGAAATTTGGTGTCTTCTGGAAAATTTGAACCCCATCAATTTCTGATAGCTTGGACCCCAATGAATCGAAAAATGCAACAACAAAAATCAACTTTGGCACAAAATCCTACAGGAGCTGTTTCAGTGACATACCGTACCACACTATAAATAGCCTGCCATAGTTCAAGTCCAAACTAAGTCGATCTTAAATCTTTAATTGTGAAACACTCCCCTACCCTCATTCCTTACTGTCCATCCAGAAAACTCAAGCTCCAGAATATATTGCTTCAAGAAGAAAAAAAATGGCACCCCTTACATGCAGGGCAAAATATATCTTTGTAATTGGTACACGTTAGTCACCATTCATTGAAAGGCATCGGTCATATCCCACCACTGCAACCATGACAGTAAGGTTCATAGTGCATTGAGAGAGATAGTTGTGACATGCGTATATTACATCAGGGAGCTCTGACTAGTTCCCTCTTACATACAATCTCTACGACAGGGAGCTATTTGTATCTATTTCTCTAAACCAGCTATGGTAAGGAAAACACTTCAATCACTATAGTATATAGTAAGGTTACATACATGTAACAAATTATTGAGGCACGGTCTCGTTGCCGAAAGGGACAAACACAACAAAAACAAGAATTGAAGGATATCATCCCTCAACATACCTGCCAACTACTACGATTTTGGCGTAATTATTACGATTTTTATTTTTTTTTTAATTTTTATTTTTTATTTTTTTTTTTAATATTTTTTTTTTTAAATTTATTCTTTTTTTTTTTGCCCGTTCACCTGGCACTGTCCAGGCCGATGCTTAAGCGTGCCCGGAAGAGCACCGGCATGGTACCATGCGTAAAAAAAGTTTCACAGCTCAATCACTGTCTACTCACCACTCAGAAAGTGGGACCAAATATCCAGATTTCTGTTTGGACTCTGAGGAAAATTAGTCTGTCATCTTTGGTTTTAAAAACAGAATTGATTACTATTATTATTATTAAATCATTAAATCAGCGCCTTCAACTGTAACTCAAAAGTTAAACGCTTGAGTTTTCGGTGACGGACCTGGGATACTTCTACCGTAGTATGGTGGTGTCAACAACAAAAAAATTGGGTATTCGCCTTTAAGTGTCCTCGAGTACCTCATTACACGCTTATGCACAGCCCTTTATTTTTCTCCTCCAGGTTCTATTTCATCAGGGGAATTTTGAGCTTTTAGTCCTTGTTTTTTTAAATATTTTTTATGGGGGAGAGGGTTGCATAAAAAATGAGTTTAAAGTGAAGGAAAAAGGCATTCTTACATGTTGAAAATACCAAAAGCTCCCTACCATGGGAGGGGGACACCGACAGCCCTGTCCCACACCCACCCCCCGCTCCGTCACAGTCCTCGTAAAAAATGATTACTATTTTTAGTCTTCAAAGGTTGGCAGGTATGCCTCAAGAGGGTAGCAAACACAATGGCACTGATCAAAAAATGTTTGAGAAGATTTAGAAACCTAACATTTAGGTGAATTAACCCTATAAAACAATGATTTTCATAATTGTCATATCATTTTAAAAATTAAAGCTGCTTTATCCACAACAGTAATCAACTTGATTTCTGCTCAAAGTGAAATCAACCCATTTTCTGCAAATCTTCTTTAAATCTCCTAAATACCAGTTCACTCCTATAAACATACTTGTACAGTAGAACTTCAATTTCTCATAATTATACACTTGTTTTTAGTGTCATATACTTAGAAAGTGATAAAAGTTATTCAAAAATTGAAAGTGACTAAAATTGGCCAACTGGCCAATACTGAACAAAAACTGTGTACAGGGTGTCATCAAATAGTTTATATCTTTTATAATAAAAAAGATGGTTTTAAAATTGAATCCAATAAGACTACACATTCACTTTTCTAAAGGAAAGACATATTGCACATACACACTGCACTTTACTCAATGATTGTTTATCTTGTCAAAGGTATTAGGTAAGGGTTAGTCTAGGGTTGCAATTGGGTTAAGTATAGTATTGGGTCTATGGCTGAAGTTCAAGAACTTAAACAAATTATCTGTCTAACATATGTATCCTTTGATGTAAGTAAAACAGTTTGGCCATCACGCCTCCTATGGATTTGTTTACAACAGTTCACAGAAGCGTTTAGGTTAGTGGTTTATTTCTGTAAAGGTTGAATCTGGCGGCTTGAATTGATACTGGATCCATTTACATCTAACATTTTATAATACCTAAACATAAATGTATGTGTGAGAAGAAAAGAAATAAATGATTATGGACAAGGTTAAAAGCTCTGAACTTTTAACCCTGGATTAAGTGTAAGAGTTAGTACACTCTACATTTGCAGGCGAGGTGCAAAGATCATCTAGACATTTGCTTCGCTGTAAATCTCGATCACTATCGCTGTGCTGCATAAGGCAAGACTTGAATGAAAGTTAAACCAGACAACTCTGGGCATGAGACTTTTGAGAGACTTTTGAGAGAGTTATTACCACACTTAACCAAGGTTTGAACTAAACCTCACCATCGGAATACATTTTAATTCAGGGTTCAATTGGCAAGTACACCGGCAACAAGGAAACTCAGTCAGCATTGTGGGACATCTCTAAACGTCCTTCATCGAAGTGGTCAATATTCATCAAAGGCAAGGCCCCTGTGAATGGCTCTTAAAACAGATGCATTGCTACCCTGCTACTATCCCAGACTATTGCCTGATTTTGTTCAGCCCTCATGACTGATTATTTATTGTTTATTTGTTGTCTCTATTTTTTCTATTGTTTGTAACTCGATGAACTTCTGTTAGTCCAGTTTCTCAGTCTAGTCTCTCCTGTGTAGGCTACTGGGCAAGATCCTCAGAAGAGGCACTTTATAAATCTCTTCTTCTTTGATGTCTTTAAAAAAGAATTCTGAATTTAATTCATTCAAAATTCTTTCAACTCAATTTACATCACAACTAGTATGGCCATGCAAAAGTGCATAGGCCAGACTAGCATCTCTTAGGTAGTCTAAAACCATTTTGCATGCAAGGATCATGGAAGAGGGTGGACAACTCTCCTGAGGAAGAATCATCAACTTCAAATGAAATGCTCGATAGAAATCCCTTCGCAATTAAGTTCCAGTTAACACTGCATCCAAAATGAACTCCAAAATTGTCTCCGCTGTTGTCCATGCAGTCTCCTCATACAGATGTATCTCCTTGCGCTTGCGGTTTGGGAAAATGTCCAACATCATCGTAGGCTGGTGGCGGTTTCTCCTCCGCTCCATTGGGATCTGGATTTAGTGGTTCACCAGCAGGTTCTTCTACATCTTGTGTTGTTTCCGCAACGGGAGTGTCATTGGCACACCCCTTGTCCATACATGAAAAACAGCATTTACATATGGCAAGGAGAACTGTTACGCAGCCAAGAACAATGCCAGTTATCTGCAGCCATGACAGAAAGCTTTTGTCTGTTGGAAAAAGTGAAAAAAGAAAAAAAAAGAAGATGACAAATTTTGCTGTGAGCTTGCCACGGGTACAATTTCATGGCACACAATACTCTGATATTTTTCTTCCATATTTTTTACTTCTTTTCTAACAAATTTTATGAAATTAGATGCCTGTTTTTACCTCGTGTTGAGTCACAAACAGAGAAAGATTTGTGAACACAATGGAAGTGAAAATGCATTTCTCTCTTCTTTCAAATTTCTTATTATCATTCATTCTTTTAAAAAATAAATTGTGATAAAAAGCCTACAACATAAATTTTCCCTTAAAAAAGTAACATTTTCAATCTAAAGCCCACTGCATACTACACAATTGTCCTGCAATCTGATGTTCAAAAAATGTCAATTGTATAAGATGTCTTACAAACATTAACTTCCTGATTTAGTTTCTAAATAATGACAAGAATACCAATAACTAGAATTTTAGTGCATTAAGTCAGAATATATAAAAGCTGAATCGGCTTCAAATTGTACACAATTAACTGCACTACTGGTCTAATGTCACGATGATTCTAACAAATTGAACCTGTCCTTTTCCAAGAAAGCATAAATCAATTAAAATTTTACATTTTCTTAATCTTGATCTTGATCTTCGGTCATTAAGATTTTACATTTTTAAATGTTCGTTTCAAATGTTATTGCGAATTCTTCCTAAATCGGATTACAGTCCGTTCGTATAGTGTGGGGTGTGGCATACTCACTTCTGCATTTGATGGCGATGTCATCCTTGTGGGTGCAATTATGCACCCCCCATCCTTTAGAGTCGCAGGATCTCAGTGATCGTTCCCATCCGATACAGTCCAAACCCTCTAGTAGGATCATCCCGGTGCCCACGGGAACGTCGTTGACACTGGTCTTGCTGGCCTCGTCGTACCCTGATCCCATACACACCACGTCCGCTGCGTCCTTATTCCATCCGTTCTTACACACTGTGCCCCAGATACCCTGGTAATACACTTCCACTCGCCCATGGGCATCACTGCTTCCGTCCACTAAGCGCGAATCTCCATCTAATCAATAACAGAACAAGGTGATATACATGTAGCTGGGTAGGGTAGCAACCAATCACCCCAAAAATGGATCTGTACACCCAACAGAATACCTGAAATAAAATCAGTCACCTCCAAAATACCATGTAATACATTCAAATGATAAACTAAGAACAGTAAAGGAAAATATTTTCACAGAAATGATATTTAAATTTGATATTTTGAATAGAAATCCAAACACAAAGAGCAAATAAACTTAGGGATTGTGTCCCTTTGACCAATTAATGTACATACAAAATCTTCATCCTTTTTTTCCCTGAAATAGAAATGCGTTTTCAAAGACAGTAGTCTGACCTTCTGTTTGTGAGCATGTCACACCTATGTCCATCTCATGGGTGCATTCTGTTGAAGCCCAGCCACTGTGGAAGCATTCATCCAGGCGCTTCTCGTTGCCTTTGCATGCTACCGCATCCAGCCAGACTTGGCCACTCCCTTTCCCGAATGCAGCTCCCGTAGTGAAAGTGTCCGCCCCTTTGAATCCCAGCTGCCTGCATGCCACCTTGGTCTCTGCTAGTCCCCATTTGTTGTCACACACGGAGCCCCAGTCAGCACTGTGGTACACCTCCAAGCGTCCTTGGCTAGAGTGATTACCATTGATCAAACGCAAGGCCCCCTCAGCCGGTTCTGAAAACAAATGCATTAATGAGGGACAAGGATTATGTGTTTCCTTGTTAAATTGTCATGATATGATATTGTGGTACTCCTGATCCGCCGGCCTACAGAATGCTAAGTTTAACAAAGGTTGATTTCATACATTCTTGCCGTACACAAATTATTTTTGAAGGTGCATTGGTACACTTTAACTCATATCCTGCCATAAGGCCGCATACATGCTACCCTAATAGTGCTTTGTACATAGGAGCACGCAATCGATTGGCTGCTTAATTCACCGAGTGAGCCACAGCTTAGCTGCTTTATGCATGCATGCTCGCATTCGTAATAGCAGTTATTGTTCATGCTCATTGTGCTGTGCCGAGTGCTTCGCAAGCGCTATTGATCGCACCATCAGATTATCACAAAATATACTTGACACAGGGGGGGATTTGTGGCTTGGCACAATGGGGATTAGCCCTATGGCACTGGGCTGTATTCATTATAGCAGGATAACAGTTAAAAGACTTACCGGCATCAACAAGGCATCTCACTCCCGCATCCTCTGTATGACGACAGATGTTACCATAATCCCAGCCAGCATGGGCACACCCGGATAGCATCTGCTCTGTGCCACTGCATCGCACATCCTTCATCCAGATTCTTCCTGTTCCTCCTCCAAACAGTGAATTAGTAAAAGCCAACTCCACTCCCGGGAAACCTAGCTGGCGGCAGACCACAGCAGCATCAGGCACATCCCAGTTATCGTCGCATACCGTTCCCCATTCACCATAGTTGTAGATTTCTACTCGACCTTCGTTGGCGGAAAAGCCATCAGCAAGTCGTATAGATCCCTCGATTGCTGGAAGATACAAGCAGAACTATAAGCATGTCATATTTGTATGTGTGCATGCATGCACTTAACTTGGATGGACTAAAGTAAAGTAATTTGAAGGCAATATTATTACTATATAATTATTAATACTATTTGTTTTGTTATTGTAAATATTTTTATTCTATTATTATCATTATCATCAGCAGTGTTATAAATATTATCAATATGAATAGGCCTATTATCTTTAGTATTATTATAATCATTATTACTATTGTATTATTATTATTATATATAATTCATTTATAAATGTAATACAAAACTTATGATAAACCTTGGTTGCTATGACTTACTATCATTTGTGACCATGCATTGCACTCCAGCATCTCCGTCCCATGAGACCACGCCACGAGATCCCCAAGGATCATGCGAACAATTAGCAAGTGTCTGCTCTGTGCCCAAGCATCCTACGTCACTCAACCAAATCGTCCAATTTCCCACTCCAACTGTGGAGCCATCAGACACCCTGTATACACCAAGGAAGCCCAACTGCCTGCAAACCACTGCACCATCGGACAAGTCCCAGTGGTAAGAGTACACGATGCCCCATTTGCCATCGTGGTAGATTTGGACCTTCCCCTCAGCGTTAGAAGATCCACCTGTGAGTCTTACCGATCCCTCGGTTGCTGAAAATAAGTGCAAATATAAAAAAGAAACAAATTATTTCTTACAGGTACTATTTATAGTGCTACCACAAACATGCATAGTGTTTTTTGCAATTTGCATTAAATGATCCAGGGTCCCGTTTCATGAAACCAACTCCATTACAGTCATATCTTTGTCGGCGACCTACGGAGATGTCATGAAGTGGATAAACCGTTTCACAAAGCCATGACAGACATGATATCGATATATCGCGATACTAGCAGCTCAAGAACATAGTCTTTGTCACGATCCATTTGATTTATCACGAATAACCCAAAACAAGTTTTGGGGATAAAATTGTTCAAAAAGAAACATATACATATAAACTCTTCTAAAATAAATAACAAATAGTGTCATTATCAAATGTAGATCATCAAAAGATTTGCATACTTTATGTAAAGATTCTTAAATTGAAGAAAAACTGGTGAGTGTTTTTTTCTCTACAATCCAATCAAAAGGTAGTTGAAGGATACCGTAATGTGATAGTTTATCAATACATACTTTTTTTGTTTATTGTGACGAGGAATTTTAGGCAAAATACCTTTTCTCAGCCAGTTTTTATTCTAGAGTCTCATAAATACTCGTTATATAATTGATTTGATATTGAAAATATAATTTGGAAGAAGTAATTAGAGAGGGAATAATAATGCACATAGGCCCCAAAGGAATGATGGTATCCTAAGAAAAGACTATGGATCGACTATGGACAACGGTGTGTAACATTCTTATCTCTTTTATTTATATGTTATAGTTTAATGATTTGTGATTTAATGTTTATATTCAGCTTTTTAAAATTCCTGTATAATTTGTATTATCACTTCTTTACATTTGCATTTCGCATCCCAGAGAATTACGTACCGAACTCGTCTATATTTTTCTCAAAATGATGGTGAAACTAATCGTACATTTCGCGGCCCATGGAATAGCAATAAACTGACTTGTGATGGCGCTTTACAGCAATTAAAAAGATATGATGGGTTCGGAATAGTGACAACTCATTGTCCAGGAAGTTGTCGCTCATCATGGCAAAGACGGCTTCGTGAAACACTTAGCTGACAAGTTGCGTGACAGTGGCGAGATGTCATTGATCTTGTAGTTATGACGGTTTCAAGAAACGGCCCCCAGGTTACTAGCTTTACCATTATATCAAACTCTGAATTACATAGACCCTATATATTTCACTTTTAAAAAAAAGTTTTAGGGATCAAAGAGCCTATATAGCTTATGGGTATTTTTCTAAGATATATATATATATATATATATATATATGCTTGTAACATTTTACTACCAATTAACATAGACAATATGCATATTAAGTTTCATATCATATTTATTCATGACAGAATAAATACATACATGAATTTCTTGTATGTATATTTATTCTCTGCATTAAACTTATAGTACGCTTGGACTCTTGGAGAAAAGAATTACCTGGTAATTGAATTACCCCAAATTCCATTTTAATCACTAACAAATATTAACAAGTTACCAATTGATGCACCCCTGTTTTTACAAAAATTATTCTTCCCACCATCACTGTCATTTATTTTTTTCTTTATCTCTACATCCTCTGCTGGCACTGAAATACCGTTTATACACTCCAGGAAAGCATAGAGAGTCAATGCTAATGTATATTGACCTTTCCTGCAAAACATGTTTATAGGCAGCATTTGCACACATGAATAGTCAATAACTCATTATACACAAATGCACACAATCATGCCGATGTAATGTGGTCGATCAGCAAGTACGAGTCTCAGAGTAGACTATTACAATTTGAATTTTTAAATTATTCTTTCTAACATCAGTAAGTTGAAAAAATTGTATTTTACTGCTATTTAGGTGTCATCAATTGTCACTTAAGTACAGTAGACCTATAGTGTTTGAAATGTTGAGAATATATAAGCTTTTAATACACAGCCAGGATAGTAATGCAGATATTAGACCGAAAGCTTCAGTCTCTCTAATCGTCGGTTGTTCTACTGAGACTACGTCTGGCTCCACTAGACCTCCGATTATTGGGGAATGACAACAAATGTCAGTTTTATTAAAGAAATGACCCAAATCAGATGGTTATTGCTGTCTATGCAGATATGTGTGCGTTTATATATGAATCTAGGCATAAAGGATGTGGTACACATTACATTTCCCTTCAAGCACACACAGCAATAATTGAGGGGGAGAACAATACCCCCAAAAAATCACTGCCCAGATGAAGCGTTATACGGGGCGGGAATCCGCTATGTACTCCCCAATTGTTTTCGTCTCCACCTGCAAAACCACTTCAGTATACACCACACGCATTACCTTTGACACTCTATGCTTTGCTGGAGTGCACTACACGGCCGGGCCCCGCATTCTCGATCTCACATACTGCCCCCTTTTCTAGAATAAGATCATAAAGTTACCTTGCTCAACTGCTAAAAGTCCGTCAAATAGTAGTAAAAGAATGACACTCAGTAGCAGTAATAGTTCATCCATATTTAACGATAACTACGGATCCTGGTATCTATCCCCCGAAACTAATCACCGAGATCATGGGTGCGCACTCCACCAATTTCGCTTGCCGCGCCTCGATCTCGACCAGCGGTACGCTTGCTGGTTACGTACGTACCGATAGAAAGGGCGATCGAGGTACACTGAACAAGGGTGCCTGGATGCCTAAACTTAGAGGCTCAATGCCAAAAACATCACAGTACATGAGCCGCGATATACAGTGCGTCCCAGAAAAAAACGAAACCGAGAAGTATCGATGTTTTATCATAACTTAATCACAACCATAATTAATGAATGATACATATTTGGAAAGCTTAGAGTCTCCTCTTTCAGTTGATGCTACTCAGATGATGCATATTTCACACATGAGTGATTAAAAGCAATTTGAAGGAAGGAAACCAAAAAGACATTTGGCGGGCGGTATCTGAATTTCGAAGAAAAATGCACATTTCTAGAAAGTTGAGTTTCTGCCCTTTCAAATGACAAAAGTTCTGTTTGTTTAAAGTAGTGCTTGCATTTCCATAATTTTATTAAACGAATTCGTTTTCACTGGCTGCCCGCCGTATCAATAAACGAAATTAAAAAAAGACTTAACTCCGTTTCGTTGACAATCAGCCGTAGACGAGAGTCTTCATGCATGGCTGATTGTCAAAGGAGAAAAGATAGATTGATGGAGAAACAAAGAAATACATAAAACAAAAGAGAAGAGGTTAGAATGAAGGAGAACAAAAGAATTACATAACCGAAGGAGAGCTCAGGGGGATAGATTGTGAAAAAACAAAGACATGACAAAAGAGAAGAGGATAGATTGAACTTGAAGGAGAACACAGAAATACATAATGAAAGAGAAGAGAGGATAGATTTAACCCAAAACAAATAACGAGTATGTACACATGTACAGCCCCAGCAATCCAACACTGCTAAGGGTAATGCTAGACTCTGTGTCTAGTCGTTCGCGCAGTATATTTGACTGAAGTGGCTATACAGTTGTGTAAAAAAAATATGCGCCTACCGGCACTTCCTGGAAAAAAACGAGGCCTTCTGATTGGTTAGAAGTTAGAGAAAAGTGATTTGTCACGTCGTGAGACGTTGTATATGCTTTGATGCCGCACAATGCACAAAGACGGTGGTCCGGTACTTCATCAGTAGTACTTGCAAACATCTCGAGTGTATAACGTTATCAGGGGCGCCCGGCGTCGCTAGATCTTTTTCAGTTGTTGAGTGGGAAGGAGTGTAGAGGCCACCGATTACCGACAAAACGAGCGACCAATTACCTACAAATATATTAATGACAATGTCTAAATGTCTACAAATTTTACCCTATAAACCCGGGGCCAGGAACTAAGTAATTTCTCAGTTTTCCCCCTCCCGCGCGAAGCGCGGAAACTTTGACACTTCATTAAATTATTAGATAAAGAAGACAATTCATTGTACCGGTCCCGACTCTTAAACCTTGTCTGAATTCATTTTCGCCCATCTCGCTCGAAGCGCGAAAGCTTTGACGCTTCATTTAACTATTTCTCTTGATCCTTGTCTGAATTCAAATTCGCCCTTTCCGCGCGAAGCGCGGAAGCATTCACGTTTCATTAAATTATCAGAGAAAGAAGACGATTCGTTGTATCGTGTTTTTGTCTGAATTCAGTTTCCCCCTCCCGCGCGGAAGCTTTGACACTTCATTACATTATTAGAGAAGGAAGACGATTCGATGTACTATTCTCGACTCTTAATCCTAGTCTGAATTCAGTTGAGCGAGGGGCAGAGGCGGCGGAGCGACTTCCAAAGTGGGGGGGGGGGGGCACCAACAAAAAAGGGCACTTTGTGGGAAAAAAGGCACCTACAAAGGGAAATCTCAAAGCGAAAATAAACAATTTTTAGACATTCGTATATACTCCTAAAATATGATTACACTATTAGGGAGGATTTCAATATTTGTTTCTCTTTATCGTATAAAATATTGCTTTTTAAAGCATCATACCTTGCAGTTGGGTGTGATGGTCGAAAAAAAATCATTTGCGAGCGAGGAAAAATATAAGATTTGTGAGGTCAGTGCGAAAACTACATCTTCATCGACCAATCCTCATCGGGTTATAAATAAGCACATTTTCATAACAGCAAACTGAAAAGACCTTTGATAAGTAACATAATTATAACACCATAAATTTGAGCGAGCGTAGCGAGCGAGCTTTGGGAGATATTGCTCTTAGTCGCTTGAAATTAGGGGCACGTTGAATGATGAGAGGAAAGGGGGACACTTATTCCAAGGGATAAGACACTTATTAGAAAATAAAAGGAGAACGTGTCAAAGTATAAAGGGTTATTATTAGAGGTGAAAATGGGGTACTCACCAGGGATGAAAAGGCACTTATGAGAATGGAAATTGGGCATTTGTCGACGGAAAAGAGGCAACCATCAGATTTTGATAGGGGCATTTATGAAAAAGGGATAGGTTCCTCATAAGAAAGGAAAAGGGGCACGTATCATTGTTAAAAAAGGTTAATTATCAGAGGTGAAAAGGGGCACTTATCGCACCTGAAAAGGGGCAAACACCATATATGAAAGAGGCACTTATGAGAATTAAAAAGGGGCACTAATAATAAAGGGAAATGTGCATTTGTTGAAAGAAAAGGAGCACTGATCAGATTTTGATAGGGGCATTTATTGGAGGTGAAAGGGGGCTTTTATGAAAAGCAGAAATTATGAAGGAAAAAGAGCATTTATTAGGAAGGAAAAGGGGCACGTGTCAAAATAAAAGGGGCACATATCAGAGGTGGAAAGGAGAGGGGTCACTTTTAAAAATTAACAGGGGCACATATCAAAGTAATAGGGGCACTTTTTATGTAAAAAGGGGCGCTTCTTACAAAGTTAAAGGGGCACTTTTCCCATGGGAAAAGGGGCACTTTTGGGGTACTTGAAAAAGTGGGGGCACTGTGCCCCCCCTCCCCCCGGGTCCGCCGCCTCTGGCGAGGGGTTGGAGAGGTTTGGTTCTAGTTTTGTTTTATTTTGCTTCTTAATTTGTTTATTTGGTGTGTTTTTTGTTCTTCAATTCATATTCCCGAGCCATACAAGGAGTCTGGGCATATATCCCTGAACGATGTGGTCAAATGAAAACATAGCTGCAATTCTAGGCAATTTATCCATGGGATTCAGGAGAGTTTGAAAATATAAGAAGAGGCCCTATACTTTATGATTGCTATAATCCTATGAAAATGTGACATAACAATGTTATGATGTTATGTAGGATAGAAATTGAATACCTTTTCATAAAATATTTTTGCTCTTCTTTTTAACTAAGACTTTTCTTTTAATAAACTAATGAGCTTCTTTATTCTTAAACCCAAAAGGGTTTGATGAAACAAGCTCAACAAAAATATATGATATTGATTTATAATTTATATTCTTCCAGAATTTCCTGTGCCTCAAACTCTCCTCGATTTTTATTGCAATATGTTATACTTTCATAATTAAAAGTAATGTTTCATACAAATACGTTATACCATTTGCATGTCCAGGCCTTAAATTTCGTCATTTTTAGGGCAAGGCCAGTTTGGCCTCGAGTACCTCATATTTTTAAGGGCACCAAGGCCAAAATATTTTTACAAAAAGGGCATCGAGGCCAAAATATTTTACAAAAAGGGCATCGAGTATGAGGCCAAAAAAATTGATTCTATTTTTGTTAGATGTCATGTGTATTTTATGAAACTTGTGCAGGATCAATTTCCCATGACTTTTAGCACCAGCTTCTTCACAGAATGTATAGAGGTCTACGGTACATACAAACAAGCAGGCGCGTAGCCACCCGGGGGGGGGGGGGCACATGCCCCCCCTAAAATTTCCAGGATCGGTTGAAATTTTGTAGACCCCTTTTTTTTACCTCGATCGATTACATGTATGTGCCCCCCCAAACACCAAACTCTGGCTATGCGCCTGCAAACAAGGCGGCGGCCCGCAAGCCTTAGATTTAGCAGCCAGGAGCAAGGGGCAATTTTTTTTTTAAGTTGCCCTTTGCCACGGGAATTTACCAGAGCAAGGGGCAATTTTCCAAAAACAGATAGGCCGCTTATCTAATCATAAGTTCAAAGAGAGTCTACAAATGTTAATTTCATAATGTGAATAGATCGAACGATCAATTTAATAACTTTTTAATCTTAACAATATGAACAGGAAAGATTGATTAAGAACATCAAACTTGCACATTAAACAGTATTTTAAAGTAACTAAAAATATTGATGAGCAAATGAATAAATAAATTGTCAATTTCACAAACATCGAAAGTCAGAAAGACTTAATTGGCAAGTTTACCGGGCCGGGTATTCAAAATCAAAATCGCACCTCACACACAAACCTTCCGCCATTCTCTCGGTAGTAGGAGCAAATTTGAAGAAATTATCTTTTTAACTGTTGTATAGAAAGGTCTACATAGATCTAGGCCTAACTAATGAAATAAGATGTAAAAATGTCCTTATACTACATTCGACAGCTGAAAGTGACACGCTCAGCTCAGTTGCGTAACGTGCATTCACGAAACCAAAATCGTTCCTCGCACACACACTCTCGCCACTTTTGGTGGGAAGCTGTCGGGCTGGAAGTTTGCCAGCGAAACCGATGCACCCTCGGAATTTTACCGGGACTCGAAACGTTCGTCTTGGGAAGCTGGCGGGGTAGCTTTTTGAAGCGAGGTCGGCAGGTGGCAAAATGAGAGTAACTACGATCGAGAACATCGTAGATGTTCTTAACTTATTAATAAGATAATTCTAAATTCTATTTGAGATAAAATAATAAACTAGGCCTACAAACAAACCTCGACAGATCTCTAATGACTATTTGAATGCTTGTTTATTTCTCCATTTGACGATTTGTTTTCTTGATCCTGGCCTTCGATTTGTACGTACGTGCGTGCGTCAACAGCATGCACCATATGCATATCATGCGATCGCATAATATGAACGTACGTACGTACGTGCGCTAGCGGATTGCCTATATAATAACAAAGGGCGCATTTTCACAGCACTTGCGCCTTATTAAAGCACTAAATACGAAGCTAGAAGAGAGCTCGTGGGCGGCAAACTGTTCGTGATTCGTGTATTTTTACTGTTCTAATAATTTATGGGCGCATTTTCACGGAAAACACTTGCGTCTTGCCGTCTAGTTTTAGATGATTATGGGCGCAATTGGTGGTTTTTTGTGCGCAAATTTAAAATAAAAAGGGCACGTCCAGTTGGAAAAAAAGGCACGTCGGCCAGTTTGAAAAAAAGGGCACGGCCTTTTTGGCCGTGAATATATCTTTTTTTGGGAGGGCACCGCGGCCAGTCATAGGGGCATCGACGGCCTGGCCGTCGATGGCCGTCGATTAATTTAAGGCCTGATGTCTATATATTTATATTTATCTATACATACACATTCATATACACTTTAATAATTACTTCTTAGTGTTCCTGATTCTGTGTACATTTTGTTATGGAAATGGCTCAATGAATACAAATAATGTTCATATTTACACATTTACTATCTCTGAAAAAACAAAAGGATACTTATAATCACTTGCCATCTTCATGAAAGGAATCAGAGACAAAACAAAATTCCAATAAATTATTTATCATCATCCATTTTAATTTAATGAAAGACAAAATAGATTTTGAAAATGCATAAATGATGAAAGAGAAATTATGCATTTGAAATAGTAGTAGTAGTAGTAATAAATGTAGTAGATTTAATAAAAAATTACAAAATTATGATACAACTACTACTACTAATAATAATGATAATAATAAACCATATTTCTATTGCACATTTCAACACAAAGAAAATTGAAAAATTGATCCTAACGCACTTGTGTGGTTACAAGAATCAGTGACTACATAATTGTACTGGAGTGGCCTGGAACTAGAAGTCATCCTGGTAAATTTGATGCAAAAGTGAAAATCTACCTTGATCATTATTCAACCACAAACTGACCAGCCACAAAACCCAATCTCCAGAATATATTGCTTCAAAAAAGAACAGGCAATCTAAGAAATTAATACCAGTAAGTATAATGCACACATAAGGAACCCAACCAACTAGAAATAAAGATAGCCAAATCAACCTATTTTCTGTCAAGTTCTTTAAATCTCCTAAATACCAGTTCACTCCTACAAACATACTTGTACAGTACAACTACAATTTCTCATAAATATATAGTCATTTACATTACAAGTATCGTATATTTAGAAGGTGATAAAAGTTATTCAAAAAATGATAGTGACTAAAATGATTGACCAACAGGCCTATACTGAACAAAAACTGTATAGGTCTTTTATCATCAAATAATACATCTTTTATAATAAAAAAGATGGTTTTAAAATTGAATACAACATGTACACACATACGACATAAGACATATTGCACATATACTCAATGAATGTTGATAATATACACATGTATGTTTGCTCTGTTTGAATACAGATAACAAATAGTTTTGACATGTAAAAAGGCTTTGATATCTATGTACTGTATGTTATCTTAAGATTAAATAAACACAAATGCATATCTTAAGTTCATGATACAAAATAAATAAAAATCGTATAAACAAATACTGACCTTAAAATACACAGGAGAAATCCTTTAAAAGATATCAAAGATATTATTATTATCTATACAAACAAATTATATTGACATGTCAATTTGAAATATATTGTTAAGTATTTGGCATCACCTGTGTCTGGGAGGCGAAGAGCCAACTAAATCAATGTAAACCTGTGGGTCCAGATCTCCTCCCAGTGTAAGTACATGATTGGGGTGTGCAGATGGATCACGATATACCAGGGTTGCCCCCTACTCTTATACAAATAGTTCAGTGGGTTCTTAACCTGCAAAGGTAGTGACTCTCTTTTACACCTGACCTTTATTTAACATCCTATCCGAGGGACCGATACAAAATATACAATATATATAATCGCTGTCTACTATTGCTGTGATCGTATGGAGCAAATAAAAGGGACAGATACAAAATATACAATTTACAATATCATTGTAGGCTTTTCCCAAGAAAAGATATTTCTTGAAATTCCCTAATAGTACCCAAAAAAATTCTCGCTCTATTTAATAAAGCAAGAAACATTTAGACTAAATTGGGATGATATTCTTATGCCACATACACTGTATATGGGGTCCAATGTAGCAATTCTTTTCAGAAATATTATTCATCACTTTGAAAATTCCAAACCCTTCTATACACAAATGTTTGTGTTTACTCAATAATTTACCATTCAGAAGAATTTCAAGAGTTTCTTTTACAATAACATTGCACGATCAGCACCTTATCTAAACAAAATGGCAAGAGTTTACAATAATAAAGATATTTCAGTTTGAACATTGTCATCTCTTAGATGTAACAAAATTGCAATAGTCTTTTTTTGGGGGGGGGGGGGGGAATCCACTGGGTAAGTATTTGACCTGGTATACCAGAGAAATGTAATGTGCATTACAAGGAAGACTAAAAATTAGTTGCCCCCTCTTAATATGTGTAATGCTCTATTTAATTGGAAATTCATCTGCAGTAGCATAGGATTGTAATCTATGCTCCTCAAACATATCAAATTTGGTTTTGGATGGAATTAGAAATATTTACACATGCTTTAAAAACAGCCCATAATTTTTTCCCCGCTGGTACTGGAAAACACAAATGCCCACAATCAATATCAATCAGCAATTATCAAGAATGATTTTGATAAAAACTGTAAACTTCATCTTCATGCTTCTGATATAAGCAATATCAAATACCAGTAGAGGAAAAATATTTTGTAAAACTTTGATATATAAAACTCTGGTTCCTCACTGACTGTTCACTGTTCATTGCACCCAATTACATTATATATCTATTTTAAAAGACTTTTGGGGGGTAATATTGTGGATCTACCTTGCCCCTACCCCCCCCCCCCCTAAAAAAAAAAAATATATATATATATATATATATCCATAAAATAAACAAATAGCTAAGTAATATGTCTAATAAATGTACATGGTACAAAGATTGATTTAAACCCAATGGTAAATTTAATAAGCGTACTTAGAAAATAAAGGAAACAAAATAATTTGATATTTATTTTAACACAATATCCCAATTAAATCTGTTTTCTTAAAATTCGGAGATCTGCTTTTTAATGCAAAGGGTTTAAATTTTTCTTGAAAAAAGTATGAAATAGTACCTTTAAAATAATATTTCATTGAACTGAAGGCTGAAGCGCAGTTGATGAACAAGTGATAAGTATAGTAATGTCATATACATGCTTTAATAACAATAGTAATCATTGACACAGAGAGTATATCATAAACACTACAGGTGATATCAAAATGAGCTTAAGACAAGCTAAACATGCTGAGATCAGTGATCCAAGTACTACTGCCAATTTGCATATCTGACTTACATTACAAAGAGAAATAATCACTACATAAACTGGGCAAGATATGGTTACATTTTAACATTCCATAAATAATTTAAAACAACAAACAAAATTAATATAATGGGTTATATGATTCCACTTACTTTAGCCAGTATTCACCTCTGCTGGGTGCAAATGGCGATTTTTTTTTTTCTAAACATAATTATATCATTGATCCAGATTGATTGCATGTCTAACAATTCATTGCAAACTTACAAATTCCTCTCTCTCTTTTGCAACCGATATCAAATTGCAATTGATTCAAATCGATTGCAATTCTTGGTGCGTCAGGGCCCAGAACTCCCAAGTTTGTAGGCAACCCTCCAACTGATACAGCCAGTGAAAATCTTGCAGGAATGGACTGATGTGAAATTTTTCTCTGGGCTGTGAAAACCACACAAACAAGTAATTCAGCAACATGCCAATTTTAATACCCACTTTGCAGATTCTCAAAAGCTTTGATCTAGAAATGCAACTGAACCCCTCTTTGATACACATGCGATCTGGGGGTAAACTGACTGCAATCCAGTACAAAATGAACTGTAGAATTGAACCAGTTGTGCCAAAGTAATTGGCCCCTAGCTGTTTCTTTAAACTTGTTATTGAAAATTAACAACTGACACAATTATACAACAAATTTGCTCACAGCTAATCAAGTTCTAGGATTACAGTAGTTTTGAGATCAATTACTGTAATTTTGTATCGATAGCAATTTTCATGAGATATGTTCCAATATTCATATGGAAGTGCAATTCCCAGGAGGGTATGCCTAGCTGGTTGGAGGGATTTCAAGCGGTGCAGACGGAACAACCCCTGAATCAGCTGAAGGGTAATGGTATGCAGCAGAAGCACCTGAGAATGATGGCAGTGGATAGGGTACCAAGGGTTGCGAGTAGGGTGCCGAAGGTGGTAGATAGGGTACCAAGGGTTGCGAGTAGGGTGCCGAAGGCGGTGGATAGGGTACCGAGGGTTGCGAGTAGGGTGCCGAAGGCGGTGGATAGGGTACCAAGGGTTGCGAGTAGGGTGCCGACGGTGGTGGATGAGTTTGTGGGTAGGAAGTAAAGGTTGCCGAAGGTGATGGGTAGGGATCCTGAAGGGGATATGCTCCTTGTGGCGGTGGATAGGGTACCAAGGGTTGCGAGTAGGGTGCCGACGGTGGTGGATGAGTTTGTGGGTAGGAGGTAAAGGTTGCCGAAGGTGATGGGGAGGGATCCTGAAGGGGATATGCTCCCTGTGGCTGGATGTCGTCCAATTCAATGGCGTTAGAGCTTGTGATGTCATTGCACGATGGTGGCGGCAGGCCTGCTGCAACTGCTTCAGGTTGGACGTTGTTTACATCAGGCGTACCGATCTTCTTGGTACATGTACAGTACCCACAGCCACTGCTTCTTCTCTTGGTACTTCATCCGTTGGGACTGCTGTGTGTTGGGATGGTGTCCTTTTAATGCATTTTAGGCAGCAGAGACAGAAAAGCAATACTCCTACTACGCATCCAATTGTTATTCCAACTATAGCTCCAACTGATAGGCCACTTTCTGAAAAATTGACAAATTCATCCATACATAAAAAGAAGACCAAAATTTGACTCAGGATTTTAGAAAGCAATATAGTCATACAGAAACAAACATAAAAAGAACAGCAGTAATGGAAGTATATAAGTGATGAATATACTTACACCAAAACTACTGGTACAATGGATCTGAAGTATTTCAAAGTATGCCATACTTGCAATTATTTCAAATCTTTGCATGCCTGCCCATTTATCAGTGTGGTGATATTTGGCTTTGATTTCAACTCCCTGCTATTAAAGCTCTGTTGAACATTCGTTCATGTCTGCATGTATGACTACTATTTAGATAAAGGCTCACAACCAATAATATTCCACCAATGCAATATCACTCTAACAATACGTATATTATGTGATGAAACTGTACTATGCTATTGGCATTTCATTCCAAGTTCATTTTATTTCAATATTGTATTGCTACTTCCCAGGTATGAGAATGATCTATTGATATGTAACAGGCCCATGAGGCCCAAGATTGGAGAACACATACGCAAGAAAACAAAAAATTTCATAAGAATAAAAATTTACCAGTAACATACGCCCTCTCCAAAGCTTTTCAGGGGCTTCACTCCCTGGGTGTACTTGTGTGAGAATGATCTATTGATATGTAACAGGCCCATGAGGCCCAAGATTGGAGAACACATACATGTACGCAAGAAAACAAAAAATTTCATAAGAATAAAAATTTACCAGTAACATGCGCCCTCTCCAAAGCTTTTCAGGGGCTTCACTCCCTGGGTGTACTTGTGTGAAACCCCTACTGCAACCCCGATCAAAATTTTCAGATGGCAAATTTTGATTTGTCAAGGCTTGCCAGCATATCAGAAAAATAATGACCCCATTTCGGGGGGGGGGGGGTGCTTACTGGAAATCATAGTTTGTGCCTCGCCAGCAATTTTTCTTGCTTGTTTTCAATTGTAAAGTGCATTGATCACTGAAATTGTATATCAGTCTTACCCTTACACTGTACCCCTACATCTTCTGAATGTTGGCAGTCATTTACCCCCCAGCCATCATGAAAGCAGTTTTCCAACTGGTCTTCATCCCCGACACACTCCACCGTATCAAGGAAGATTGGTCTTGGGGCCATTGTTACTATCCCGTACCCCCGATCAGCGGCCATGAAGTAACCTCCATGCTCTGTGAATCCCAGCTGCCTGCAGACCACCATGGTGTCTATGCCATCCCAGCCGTCATCACAAACCGTGCCCCACTGCGAATCATGGTAGACCTCTAAACGCCCTTCCTTGTCTGAGGGTCCATCCACTAAGCGCACTGTCGCACCATCTGGTTTAGATAATGATGAACAGGGAACACGATAATGATAATGATAAGGCCTAAAATAAAAACTTGTTGCATTGCCCTTTGCGACCGACCGAAAATTTGAAAATCTACGGTCGGCATTTTAAAAAAGTTTTTATTTTTTTAAACCGTTTTTTAGATTTTTGTTATTAATGAATAAAAATATAAAAATATATGTATTTTGTTTGTTTAAATGCATAAAATCATATTATTCCAAAATTCTCACTCGTGCAAACCATGGATAATTATGAGGTGAAAAAGATATCAATAGAATGATGACGCTGAAGCACATGTATTAAAATTGAGAAATATTGCCCCAAAGAGGGCGACAAAAAAAGTTTTAAAAAATAAAATCTTTTCAGACCGACCGACCCATGTTTTTGCACCCAAAGGGCAATGTAACAAGTTTTTATTTTAGGCCTAATCTGGATTTATATAGCCGTTAATACGGACTATCGTCTCTAAGTGCTTTACAGATATCATTATCCTGGTCCTTGGATTCATTCACACACAATGTGCACCAACTTCACTCCGTGGGGAGTATTCTTACCTAATGGTCACGTAAAGGGCAGAGGCAATTACTAACACAAATGCTTTCGTCATCCTACTGGGTCCCCATTTCTCTCTTGGATATTGAGTGGCAATTGTAGACTAACGTCTTGCCAAAGGTTATTAGTGCCGTGTCGGGGATCCAACCACGACCTTTGAATTTCAAGTTAAGTGTCTGAACCACTCGACTACGACATATGTAATGAAGAGTGCATCACGTACAAATGTACATCATATGGATGAATGCTTCCTACAGAACTGTATGATACCAGGATTAACGAAATGGTCAATTTTCTAAAACTAATTGAATTTCTAATTTCAACCCTGGACCCAAAACTAAACACTGAACCTTATCTAAAACTTCAACCGCTACCCAAACTTTTGACTTGTAGCTAGAACAAAATAAAGACTTGAGAAAATGTTGAATCACCCAAGTATGATATCATTGACATGTTTCTGTTTGTCCCAGTTTTTTAATGTTTACAGCATTCTTCTTCACAGACCCTAGCTATTTGCAAGGGTAAAGGGGTGATGTTTGGATGAGATCAATTGGCAATGGCATCACCAGCATATTTTTTTTGTAGAGAGCTTTTCAGGAGAAAAAAATCAATGTTAACTACAGCAAACGTCAAGAGCCAAAGAGCTTTTATTTTATACATTCTAGCTGTTCACAAATTATCTTTTTAGGAACTGGTACTCTTAAATTTTAGCACTTGAATTATTTTTGTCTAAACATGTATCCCAGGTTGAAAATGCTGCTTTTTAGGTAAAAGAATCAGAGATATTAAAGAAAATGGCTCCAATACTAGACAGTTGGAGTGTCTGAATTTCAGCTCATATGACTTGTTCGTTCAACAACAAATGCTCCTGGAACCAAACAATATATACCCAACCATAGCCCTTACTTCAGTGTATTCTAAGACCCACTTGAAACACTAACCCTAGTATATATCTTCAACAAAATAAAAGACCATAGGTTGTCCATCGTTTGTTTGTTCCTGCGACAATAGCTCAACATCAATTTCCTGCACTAACAGAATTCTCATCTTTAACCCTGGATGCAACACTATACCTAACTATAACCATTTAACCCTTTTAGGCTACACCTAGCCTAAAACCCAACTGCAACCTTAACCCTAATCAACAACAAAAAAATCAACAAAAAATCATTACATAAAAAAAAAAATAATAACCCTAATCAAGTCTGGAGCAATTGATGCCAAAGCAAATGTCACCGACACAAAGCAAAGGTCACTGGGCCAACTATGTCGGATCATTGACTTACCAGGAAATAATGTGCACCTGACTCCAGCATCATCTGTATGAGCACAATCATTGATTCCCCAACCCCCGTGAATACATTCAGCAAGTGTCTTCTCCGTGCCAGTACAACCGACTTTGTCCAGCCAGATTTTTCCGGTGCCTGGTCCGAAAGGAAGCCCTACCATCTCAAGCCCTGCGTAGCCAAGCTGTCGGCAAGCTACAAGACCATCGGGCGTGTCCCAGTTGGTAGAGCAGACTGTGCCCCACTCCCCTGCATGGTAGATTTCAATCCGCCCCTCGTTTGCTGTGTTTCCACCAGACACTCTCAACAATCCCTCAGATGATTCTAAAGAAGAAAAAAAATGAATATGCAGATAAGTACATGTAAAATGAGCATGTGATTGTAACATCTACACTGTAGTTAACAAAATTGGCAATTCAGGTTATCGTTATCGTTATATTCCGATTATCACAAATTCAAAATAATGACTATATGCAGTATTTTTACACAAATTAAACATATATGTTGTATTTTGAAATTGGAGATCGCCGTCATGTATTTATACTGTCATACAGGAAGAACTCACAGTTTTGATATGTGTACACATAATTGTTTTCTGCACACCACAATAATGTACACTAGATGAATTATAGTACCATCCCCCCCCCCCCCAAAAAAAAAAAAAAAATTGTAACTATAATTAAAATGGAAACTGGAGATATATGAACAATTTGGGTTTTGAGATAGCAGGAAAGTGTAATACCTGCCTGACATCTGACCCCTACATCTTCACCATGACTGCAGCCATTGTTCCAGGTACGATAAGAGCAGAACGACAACGACTTCTCCGTCCCTGTACAGCTCACATCTTCTAACCAGATCAATCCGGTTCCTTGACCAAAGGAAGTCTTGGCAATGGTTTCTGAAAACCCTCCGTAGCCTAACTGGCGACACACCACCATAGATTCCTGGTTGCCCCAACCATCTCCACACACCGTACCCCAACGTGAGGAGTAATAGATTTCCACTCTCCCTTCGGAAGTACTCAATCCTCCAACGAGCCTCACGTCTAGGAAAAACAAAGTTTTTGAAAATGTACATGTAAGTATTAATCAAAAGGCATTAACCTGACTACTTACTACTACTACATTATACTTCTACTACTCCTAGCTGATAATGATAATAATAATAATAATAATGATAATAATAATGATAATAATAATAATAATATTCATAATAATCATAATAAAATAACTTTCTGAATTTAGATAGTTACGTTTTTTTTGGAGCTATTTACACTTATCTTGAAGATTGAGGCTTCCAGCGCATATTGTGTGCACATTCTCCTCTCCCTGAGGAACATTCCACCCAAGCACCATTTTACAACGTGCAATGATGGACACAATCAATCATATCTGCAAACATATACCTACCAATTCAACTCCTGAGCTGAGTGCAGCATTACCAAGATATACAGCCTAGGCCTATACAGGCAGATAATAGTTAAATTCGAAAACATGCTTGAATGTATATCATGTCAGGCGCGTACGCAGGATTTTTTCAAGGGGGGGGGGGGTTTAACATTTTTAAATCGGGACGAAAATTTCGCAACGACTCAGCCAGCCGCTGAATAAGCGGGGGTTAGAGGACACTTTTTTTTGGGGGGGGGGTCTCGAAATTTGAAAATTTGACATTTTGCTCCGGTAGGGGGGGGGGGGTAAGGTCATCTTTTTTAGGTCAGCCATGGGAATAATTTTTTTTTATTATTATTATTAAAGAAAAAAAAAAAAAAGGGGGGGGGTTTAGGGGGGTGTCAGGGGGGTGTCAGGGGTTTACATACATAAAAATACCAAATGAGGGGTTCACCCACCCCCGCCCGTGCGCGCCTGTATCATGTGTATGTGCTCCCTTTACTCAGATAAGAGCTAGGCCAGTTTCGTCTGGTCGTTTCATTCGCCTACATCTTTCAGAGCTCGGTCGTAGTCGTACATTGGATCGATGAGTAACCTCACACCACCTCATATATGTAATTTTACTACGACTGCAGCTACGGCTACGAAGTACGAGATATATGGGCGATTTTAAAGATGTCGAAATTGTAACTAGAGTACCAGACCTAGATCTATACGTACCATAATTTCTTTGAGCAATAACTGTCTCGAAGAATTCTTGCAAAAAAAGAAAGGTTAAGCTTGTAGTAAACAGGTTCATCAGTAATATGCGTCTCGGGCATCAGAATTACCCAGACCCGTGAAGTACATCGCGATCGCCTCGTCAGTACACTACTACTGATGCACTCTCTGCATCCCTCTGCATGCCCTCTGTAGTACTGATACTGATGCAGGCATGCAAGCTAGGGTACGAAGCGTGGTTTGTTATGATATTACGCAGTATCTATTTTCGTAATGTACCGGTAATCAAATTCAAAATTATTTCATTCACCTGTAAAGAATACTTGTATTCGACGGTTTGTATCCGTGGTTGGGGGGGGGGGGGGGGGGATGATAGGTGCCAAAATATTTTCGGCAATGGATCAAGAGGTATAGAAGCGTGTGGCAGGTTGCACCCCCTCCCTAGCTTCCAAGTTTAACTTTTTCAAGTCGCCCTCAATAAAGATAACATTTCAGAGAATATGGGACCCATGTGCAAAGGTGTCGATTTGTATCTGTGGTTGGTGGGGATGATAGGTGCCAGAATATTTTCGGCAATGGATCAAAGCAACCAAGGATACAAGCGTGTGGCAGGCTGCACCCCTCCCTTACATAGGCGCCGGAAGTGGGGGGGCAGGGGGGGGCAGTTGCCCCCCCCCCCCAATCAAAAAAGTGGGGGGGCAAAACGCATTTTTGCCCCCCCCCCCAAAACGCCCCCCCCCCCCCCTCCAAAAAAAAAAAAAAATACAGTAAAGGAGTAAACATGGTTTGTATTTTTAATCCAAAAGAACGAAACAATAATAAAAACCTGAATTAAATCAGATATACAATTCCATTCAAAGAAAAAGGAAAGTTCACAGGAATTAAATTTCATAAACATTGCGCATGCCACCTATACGGTATTTTAAATGGAGGTCTCTATAATAGCGATACGCGCATATCGTGGACATATTGTGCGAGAATGGGAAAGCGTGTCCGTGTTTTTGTTGTAGGGGTGAGAAGACATGAGCCCCTGAACGCTGGCGTACTGATGGGGGGGGGGGTAATGTATTTCTTATTCGAAACAAGTGATTTAGAAATTTTGATGTTGTGACATGATTTTCCGGCATTTTTTTCTCCATTTTTTTTTGTAAGTCATACCTTTTTATGCGTTTGTTGGAAAATAAGAAATTCCCACATTACTGTCAGGCGAAATACGCTTATTTAGAAGCCTTTATGTCATGGTCTGCAAAGTGGCTTGGCTCGAGCCCCCCCCCCCCTCCTTTTTTTAAAAAGTATGTTAAAGAGAAAAGAAAGAAAGACGGAAAAAAAAATAAGTGACCTGCCAATGTCACAAATAAGGTATAAAAAATGCTCATCTGACCGTAATTAAATGCTTAAAACCCCAGAGCTTACGGGGCCTCCACCCCCGGACCCCACCAAGGGACCTAAGGCGGGCCCCTTGATGCTCATCTGACCGTAATTAAATACCTAAACCCCCGAGCGTCAGGGGCTCTGCCCCCTGGACCCCAACAAGGGCTCTAAGGCGGGCCCCTAGATGCTCATCTGACCGTTATTTAATACCTAAAACCCCTGAGCTTCCGGAAGCTCTGCCCCCTGGAACCCCACCAAGGGCCCTAAGGCGGGCCCGTGGATGCTCATCTGACCGTAATTAAATACCTAAAACCCCCGAGCTTCCGGGGGCTCTGCCCTCTGGACCACACCAAGGGCCCTAAGACGGCCCCTGGATGCTCATCTGACCGTAATTAAATATTAAAACCTCTGAGTTTCTGGGGGCTCCCCCCCCCCTTGGAACACGTCAATTGCCTTACAGAGGGCCCCTGGATGCTCATCTTACCGTAATTAAATACCTAAAACCCCTGAGCTTCCTGGGGCTCAGCCCCTTGACTCCCTGCCGAGGCCTATGCCCTGGACCCCACGTCAATTTACGCTCTACCTGATCGATAATACTCCACTTTGAAAAACGTTCCGCGGGACCTGCATGTAACGTGTAAGACTGGTGGTGATGCATATTTTTCGTCTGCCCCCCCCCCCCCCACTTCCGAACTTTTTTTTTCTCATTACGTCACTGCCCCTGGAAAGTGAGCCCCCTGGAATGTTTGCCCCTCCAATCCCAAACTGCTTCCGGCGCGCCTGCTCCCTTATCCAAGTTATTAACTTTTTCAAGTCACCCTCAATAAAAAATAACATTTCAGAGAAAATCGCGCTCCCTAGGGGGTGGGTGCAGGGAAGGGAGCTTTGATGTTTCATTCAATTATTAGAGAAAGAAAACGATTCGATCCTTGTAGGCCTACCGTTCTCGACTCTTAATTTGTTAGAATCAATTTCCCCTAATTCCCGCGCGTAGCGCGGAAGCTCTGACGTTTCAATAAATTATTAAAGAAAGAAGACGATTCGTTGTACCGTTCTCGACTCTTAATCCTTGTCTGAATTCAGTTCCGGTCCGCCCCCCCCCCCTCCCACGTGAACCGCGGAAGCTTTGACGTTTCATTAAATTATTACAGAAAGAAGACGATTCGTTGTACAGTTCTCGACTCTTAATCCTTGTCTGAATTTAGTTTCCCCCGCCCCCTCCCGCGCGAAGCGCGGAAGCTTTGACGTTTCAATAAATTATTAAAGAAAGGAGACGATTCGTTGTACCGTTCTCGACTCTTAATCCTTGTCTAAATTCTTTTGACGTTTCATTAAATTATTAAAGAAAGAAAGAAGACGATTCGTAATTGTACCATTCTTGACTCTATTAATCCTTGTCTGAATTCAGTCAAATTTTCGGGAGCAAAAAAAAAAAAAGTGGGCCCCCTCCCCTGAGAAATCCTGGATTCGCGCCTGCACTTCTCCCCCCCCCCCCCCCCTCCCGCGTGAAGCGCGGAAGCTTTCGATGTTTAATTAAATTATTAGAGAAAGAAGACGATTCGTTGTACCGTACGTTCTCGACTCTTAATCCTTATCTAAATTCAGTTTCCCCCTCCACCCCGCCCCCCGCATCCTGCACAAAGCGCTGAAGCTTTGATGTTTCATTAAATTATTAAAGAAAGAAGACAATTCGTTGTATCATTCTCGACTCTTAATCCATGTCTGAATTCCCTCCCCCCCCCCCCCCCCTCCCCTCCTCTCCCGCGCGAAGCGCGGAAGCTTTGACGTTTCATTAAATTATTAGAGAAAGAAGACGATTCGTTGTACCGTTTTCGATTTTTAACCCTTGTCTCAATTCAGTTTCTTTTGACGTTTCATTAAATTATTAGAGAAACAAGACGATATGCGTTGTTTCTCGACTCTTGATCCTTTTTTCTTCCTACGTCCTCTTCCTTTCTTCTTTCTCTCTCTCTTTTTTTTTTTGGGGGGGGCCCCCATGGCACGCGCCTGTATCCTCTCTGTCTCTCATTATCCCTCTCTCCCAATTTCTACTTTTTGTTTGCACTTTTGCGCTTCGCGCTTAACATTTAGTTCGTTTCTTTGTAACGCTGCGGCTTTGCATTTGGCGCACTGCATTTCTATGATGCTGTTGATTGAATAAATTGAAAAAATCCATCAATTCCTGATGAAACCGTATGAGCGAGAATTCAATTCATTCTTGTCTCATATACGGTTGTCTCATTTACTTCGTTTTCTATTTATATGTATTAAGAAAATGAGATAGCAAAATGTGTATATGGATGGTCATCTTGCGAGTAATCTCATCGGGCTCTCATCATTAATTTTTCTCTTCAATTTTTTGTTTGTGATCTTGAATTATTGGGGGATGATTGTACAGGCCACCCCCCCCCCCCAACCTGAAATATTGGAGGGGGGATATATCCCCCCCCCCCCCCATCCCCCCGGGATCGACACCCATGCCCATGTGGGTCCCACATGGGCTTGCTACCTGGTTATTATCCTCTCTAGCGCGTAGAAATTAGGGATTTTATTTTTAGGGGGCGGTATAGAGTGCAGCACGCAAAGCGTGCGAATCACTTACAGAGCGCGAGAAGCGCTTCCTAAGGGGTGGGTGCAGCTATATAGGGAGGATTCTGTTCTCGGCAGTGGCGGATCCAGGCCTTCCCCCCTCCCCCTGGGGAAAAAAAAACATGTAAAAACACGTGAGCGACTTTTCGGCCGGCGCGATTTTCAAATTTTCGGGAGCAAAAAAAAAAAAAGTGGGGCCCCCCCCTGAGAAATCCTGGATTCGCGCCTGCACTTCTCCCCCCCCCCCTCCCGCGTGAAGCGCGGAAGCTTTCGATGTTTCATTAAATTATTAGAGAAAGAAGACGATTCGTTGTACCGTACGTTCTCGACTCTTAATCCTTATCTAAATTCAGTTTCCCCCTCCACCCCGCCCCCCCCCCCGCATCCCGCACAAAGCGCTGAAGCTTTGATGTTTCATTAAATTATTAAAGAAAGAATACGATTCGTTGTATCATTCTCGACTCTTAATCCATGTCTGAATTCCCTTCCCCCCCCCCCCCCCCTCCCCTCCTCTCCCGCGCGAAGCGCGGAAGCTTTGACGTTTCATTAAATTATTAGAGAAAGAAGACGATTCGTTGTACCGTTTTCGATTTTTAACCCTTGTCTCAATTCAGTTTCTTTTGACGTTTCATTAAATTATTAAAGAAAGAAGACGATTCGGTGTACCATTCTCGACTCTTAATCTTTGTTTATGATTCAGTTTCTTTTGACGCTTCATTATATCATTAGAGAAAGAAGACAATTCGTTGTACCATTCTCGACTCTTAATCCTTATCTAAATTCAGTTGCCCCCCCCCCGCGAAGCGCGGAAGCTTTGATGTTTCATTAAATTATTAGAGAAAGAAGACGATTCGTTGTACCGTACGTTCTTGACTCTTAATCCTTGTCTGAATTCAGTTCCCTCCCGCGCGAAGCACTGAAGCTTTGACGTTTCATTAAATTATTAGAGAAAGAAGACGATTCGTTGTACCATTCTCGACTCTTAATCCTTGTCTAAATTCAGTCCCCTCCCCCCTTCCCGCGCGAAGGGCGGAAGCTTTGACGTTTCATTAAAGAAGACGATTCGGTCTACCGTTCTCGACTCTTAATCCTTGTCTAAATTCAGTTTCTTTTGACGTTTCATTACATTATTAGAAGAAAAAAAACGATTCGTTGTGCCGTTCTCGACTCTTAATCCTTCTTCCTACGTCCTCTTCCTTTCTTCTTCCTCTCTCTCTCTCTCTCTCTTTCTCTCTTGGCCTGGCTACGCGCCTGTATCCTCTCTGTCTCTCATTATCTCTCTATCCCACTCTCTACTTCTTATTTGCACTTTTGCGCTTCGCTCTTAACATTTAGCTCGTTGCTTTGGC